GTATAGGTAATGATCTAAGAATAAATTTATTATTTTTTGTCAGTTTCATTTGAAGCGTAATATCTCTATGTATAGATGTTCAATTTTATTACAAAATTTATCGTATGATAGCCCTAGTTTAGGGGAATCTAATAAAAAAAGTTTGTACAATTTAGATCACTCATTGTACCACAATTAGCATTTTAATTTTAGCAATTATTTTTGAATTTTATCATTCTACAAATACTTTCGCTAGGGGAGTGTAGATCAGTATTGCATCCTATATTATAAATCAGCTAAAATGAAATTCCTTTTTGGTACAGTATATCTTTTGTATTTGACCTGTGTTCCTTTTATTACAGTGCAGAACCTCTATAATAGAAACTTAAATAAAATTTAATCCAATGGTCATATTATAGTCTTGAATTTAAGAAAAAAATTATGTAAGCATCACATGGTGCGATCTTAACCAATCATAATTTAAAAATATGTTCATGTGATTATGAATTTAAATTTAAAACTTTACAAGCTAATAACTTGGGCAAAAATAAAATAAAAAAATTTTAACCGATAATTTTGAAAGCTGTGATAAGATCAATCGAAATTGTCGGTTAGAATTTTTAAATATTTATTATTAATGTGCAATAATGGTTTAAAAAATCCATTTTTTTTCTATTATTGAGGTTCCGCACAGTAGTTTCACAATTTTTTAGTGCCGATCATAGACGGATCGGCAATTAATTGAATAATTATCGTATTTTTAATAGGATGTCACTTATTTAGGCTTATATGAATGGATCGATCTTTTCATTGGCTATTAAACTCTGCTTTGACCGATTCAAATACGATAATAAGATATGTAAATATTAAATTAGTCCATTAATAAAGATAAAAGAGGCTATCTCCAATGTAAATGTTTGTAATTTTTTCTATCCGTATCACAACTGCAACAACAACGAGTATCATTGCAACTATTTATAAATTTTACCATTTAGTATTACAAATTCGAAATCATTATGTAACCATCACATTGTTGTATTGTTTCAAATTAAATCTAAATTAAGAAATATACTGAAACACGAGTAAAAAGTACATCACTAAAGGATAGTATTCAGCCAATTTTAAAAAAGTAAGATGTAAAAAAAATTCGAAAGAATTCCATTGTTTCTAACACATATTACACAAATTGTTTTATAAACTTAATTCGCGGATTTTGAGAGAAAAAAAAAACAAAAAAAAAATTCTTAAAAACGAGTAAAATTTTCCTCCATTTCAAAGTTCCACTCTTAATTCAAATAGTAAAAATGAAATCTCAATCAATCTACTCATCATTATTATTGTGCATTTTAACTTTTACTTATTTTCTAACAATAGCAGCTTACAAATGTGTCGATTTTCTGGATCCTTTAGATCCTTCTAAGAAAGTAATTGTAGACTGCCCACCTACAGTGAATAAAGACGTTTATGTTAAGCGTCAAACCACCAATTTCTTTGAAGCAACTCAAAATTGTACTGCTACTGCAGCCTTGTGTAATAATATCAAAGAGGCCCTTAATGACGCTGGAAAAGAAATATCAAAAGTACTGAAGTTAAAACAGATAATCAAAGTAAATGCTACTTTTACAGACCTTTTTGATCCAACTTTATTAGGTGAGTTGTATTGTAAAAGTAACTTTCATAATAGATAATATTTATCACTTCTAGGTTTGTTCACTTTATGATTACATAATAATATTTATTTTATTTAAAAGGTAATGCTATTAGTGCACGATATATACCACTGACCTCGGATGATAAGATCATAAGGAACTATCCTCAAGCTCTTGTGAAACAGTTTTCCTTAAGCGTACATCCTGAATATGATGATTACGATATTATTGCAAGTTTTAATACAGGTAATAATCAAATAATATTATCAAAAATATCAAAAGAATATTCACAATATTAACAGTTAATTGTATTATTTTTTATAGGCGTAAATTGGTGGTTTAGAACCGATAACGAAATAATCGCTTCTGATCAATATGATTTTTACGCAGTTATATTACATGAACTTATACATGGACTTGGGTTCGCGTCATGTTGGGATAATGCCCTTGAGGCTGCAGTTAATCAAGATACCACTGGTCTTACTCCTGATCCCGTTATCAATGATGACAATCAATTTGAAGGATTTTTGGAAACGATTTTTGATAAATATGTAAAGTTCATACGAGATGATGTAGTAAGCACATCGATAGTTTACACTTCCCAGTTAAATGAGTCGATACCTATAGGAACTTCATTCGATACTGTCGAGGAATTTGTAGCTCGAGTAAAATCTTCTCCACAATGGGATTATGCAGAATTCGCACTTGAATCGGCAACTACTAATGATAGTTTGACCTTTACACCTGCAGAAAACACAAGTTATAAGGAAGTAATTTATTTAGAATCTAGTTTAAATCCTTATAATCCAGGTTCTAGTGTAAGTCATCTCGGTTTAAGATATCAATCAACTCCCGATTTTTTGATGACATATTATCTCAATCCTGGAGATTCATTAGAATACTTAATCCAAATAAATGGGAATTACTCATCTCCAATTGGACCCATAATTTTGTCCATACTTGAATCGATAGGATATGAAACAGATGCTTGTCCTAATCCAATTATACCTACATATGAAAATCAATGCTAGCGTAGCATTTTCCATTATTATTACTTTCTATAATAATTGTATTTTTATTTATTAATTAATTTATTTTTATTTTCTCAATAAAGAATGTTTCTTCTCCAAATTGATAATCATCTTTATTCTATCAGTTATTGTCTTGTTAATAATATTCATAAATAAATTTAATATTATTTTTAAGCCTTCTCACCTGCCATTATAAAATTTTGTCACACTTCTTATGGTTCAATAATTATATTGCATCTGTCTCGGCTATAGGAAAGAATGAAATCTGAATTTCATAAAAAATTGTCACTTCTCAGATATAAAACGAAAAGCTTTATAAATAAAACTTAACAACCATAAATGTTGAAGCAAATTTTTCCATTTATTCAGCATTTGCATCCCCTTATAATTGAGTTCCTTTTCAACTATAAATAATTTATTGTTTAATTAATATTACTTAGATATTCCTAAAAACATGCAGTAATTTCATAAATATATTAATAAATTAAAATATTTTATATCTTTATAATTTGAAAATTTTCATAATAATCTATTGAAAATTCATCCTTTGACTTTCTTATAACCAATGTAAAAATAATACGTATAGAAATAACTGCCACCAAAATTAATACCACAATCATGCCTATTATGATTATGAAGGACCCGCAGTTAATTATTATTAATTAGTGTAGATAGTTAGAATAGCATAATAAACGTATTATACTAAAGTTTAATAAATAAATAAAGCATTTCTTCATGCTCGATGTTTAAAGAAAAATCATGCCTATTATAAATAGAATTGCTTGCGATTTTTACGTGACTAAGAATATATTTATATTTTTTAAGGAAAAACTAAAAATTTCATTAGTAATAGAATATAAAAATAAATCAGAATTTCAACCAATAGGATTGTAATTACAAAGATTTCGGTATTTTTAACTTTCAATTTTTACATTCTTTTTCAAATCCATTCTTGCTTTCATGAAGAATAAGGTTGAATTCATATGGAGTATTGTTTACATAATATAATACTTCTTTCGTATTAATCCAAGATGCTTGCATGTTCATCTGTAATAATTAATGAAGTCTCTTTATGAAGCGGTAAAATTGGTAATAGATTTGTTTAGAGTCATGGAATATTCTAAATATCAGCCGATAATTTATTATCAAGAATGAAAATATTTTTTCCATAATATTTTCATAGGAAAATTGAAAATATCAAATGTGGGGTAAACATTGTTGTTAGGTATTTTTTAGCATATGGGAATTTATTTTTTTAGACGTCACATATGTGATATGAAAACATCAAAGTGAGATAAATAAGCTCATATAGAATTTGAAAAAGATAAAGTTTTATTTTCATTAATTACATAATCCCAAATTTTGGATTTCTCAAGTTGTAAATCTTCCTTTTGATGATAGATATCAAAACACTTTGGAAGAGTTAAAATCGTTTGATTCAAGTTATGATGTTTTGCAATTAAATCATTACAAAAATTTTGAAGTGAATTGAAATCTGTTTGGAAACTTGAATTTAAATTTTAAAAATTTTAATTAGGATAATTTTCAATAAGAAAAATCAGATTGATATTTCAACTTTTTCAAAATTGACCGTAGCTCCATAAATATGTTTAATAATTATTAAATACTATTTTAAAGTTAAAAAAAAAATAACAAATAACAAAGATAAATCTAATAGATTTTAGTTTTAAAATATAAATGTATTTTATTTATTTTTTTTGACGACTTGCACTTGACATTTACCTTTTTGTCATTAAACAAAAAGTTTACAAAAAATACAGTAAAATAACTTTTTTTTTTTTTACTTTATGTATATGTACATTTTATGTATTTCTTTTAGATTACCTGAGTAGTAATAATATTACTTGTTATTTAATTCACGCTCTTTTGTCCTTTTTTTTTGAAACTGTGGACATACATACTTATCTTATTCTTTATTGTACTTCTTCAGCGAGTTCTCCTGCTTCGACATATTTTAAAAGCTCAGCATGCATATCTTGAGCATTCATTTTATCTTTTGGGTTTCGATTTCCATTTAGAAAAAAACGCTCTAATAATACTTTTATTTCCTTTTTTTGTCTTGTACCCTACCAAATTTCTGATTACTTTTCAATGTTCATCCTTTTACTAAGGGGAACTCTGAATCTATTCAAAAAAATTAGTATGTATAGTATCACATATGAATGTAATATTATTGTTATTACGTCCATAATTTTCAAAGAATAGAATCTCTATTTATTTTTTAAACAATAAAATTATTTTTTCCTTCAATTTTCTGCTTCATTTATATTTTCGGTTGTATATATATAATATCCCTTAACGATAAGAAATTCCGGGCAAATTTGCCCGCAGTTTTTTATATAATTGTGTCTTGGCTATTTTTATTAAAATCAAGAGTTGAACAAATAATTTTTATGCAAAATTAATGATCATTTATTACACATAGCTTTACATTTAATTTTCGAACTGCTTTTTTATGAAATTTTGATTTTGTAAAATTTTCTATTTATTTTTAATTATATTTTTGTATAGGAAATAAAATTCGATTTCGTGTTGGATTTTGACTTTAAACACAAAATATCAAACAAATGATCAGAACTAAATCACTACATAAGTTTGGGTAAAATTTTCCCGATTATATATAATAAAAAAAAAATTGCATCGATTTATGTCAAAGTAAAAATCGCTTTCTGCTTCACAAAATCATGTAATATTCCATACAAAATGTGAAAAAAAAGTGTCAATAAACTTGAAAAAAAAACTTTGCTTTGCAAGAGCTATAGATTGACACATTCATATATAAAATAAGTGAACAACTTAAATTCCAAATTTTAACTTTACCTAATTAAAGTAGTATTTTATATATTTCTTAAATTTATTTTCTTCCAAAGATTTAATGCTATAGATCCTTTCCACTTTCGTGAAAGAACAGTAATCCAATTTGATATTGTAGTAACTTTAGGTACTTCAATCTCTTAATTTCCCCAATTTCCAATCGTCTCAAAAGTTTTTCATATATTTGTTGAGCGTTTAATTTTTGATGGGGAACATTGTTTTCAATAATTTTTTGACTTCTCTTTTACAATCTCATTTAATTTTTTTAAAGCCCAACCAAAACTAAAGAACTTGAAACTGTCTAATAATACTATAAATAAATATCTTTTTTTTTATTGTATAAAATCAAAAAATATATTCTACTTTTGAAAATATTGGCTTACAGGTTTTCTTGATTTGTTATATTTGTCGTATCAGTTAAAACTGGGTTCTGTATATTTTTATTAGACAAAATACGAAATATTAAAACTTCTGTATCTTAAATTATTTACTATACACTATTCATAAATTCATAGATAGATATAAAGAATTATTTATCATCGCCAATTTCAATATTTGAGATGAGATAACAATTTTTTTTAACGGGACATTGCGTTATGAACCGTAAGATACTGATAATTTATAAATGTTTATTTTTAGAGATTCACCAGTTCTTCTGCGGCGACGATACGAAGATCATGCCTAAAGTTCCTCCTCCTTTTGAATAACATGGGATTTAATTAATAATTGAATAGTACTTAAATTCCGGAATCGCGTATGAACCTTAAATTGAACACAGTTATTATTATTCTACTGTCTCTCTCTCCAAAACTGTTGCTGTGCTACACTGATGCTACACTACATAAAAATATTACATTTTTTATCTGTCTCCGATTAATTTTTTAAATTGTCAAATAATCAAAAATAAATAATGCTAATAGCTAATTGATTTTTAATTACTGTAGTTTTTTAAAGTTTTGATTATCCAACACTAAACATTTTAATTATTGAATGATAATGATGGTGATGATAATAATAATAATAATAAATAATAATAATATAATAATATAATAATAATAATAATAATATAATAATAATAATAATTAAATGGAAAAAGAAAAGAAAAACAATCCTAAACGTCTAAGATAAAAGAAAAATTCCAATAAATCAACAAAACATTAAATTCGTATGCATATTTTTAGTCAAAATTAGGAAAAAGAATTTCTTTGTGGTTTTCTCTAAGATAGTAAAAAAGCTCTCTTTTAAACAAACCAATTAAAAATTCGATTTGCGCAATAAACAACCTATATGTCGAACAATTAATCAATTTCTGTTATGGATTCTCTAATGAGAGATATATTGTTGAGTACGTTAAGTTGCTTAATTTAATTTAAGCTATTTTCTTTAGAGCAGTGGGATCATTTTGGAAAACGACTAATATTAAAATTATAGATTCTTCTCTTCAACAATAATTAATAATGATATTATTATTAATTATTATTATCGAATTTATAGTATTCAAGATCCACTTAATACTTTAACTTTAGTAGAACTACTACAAAAATTAAAAACTTCGCCATCAATTATAATATTACTAATAATACTATAAGTAGTAATAATGTAGTAAAGTGATAAAACTACAAGTAATATTTAATTTAAAGTTTTAATATCGATTATTATTTAAATTAGTGAATCATTTCATTGATGCCTTATGATATGGTAATGACTATTAAATTTTTTAATATTGTTTAATTAATTAATTATAAAAAATGTTATTTTGGTAACTAAATAAATAATTTCACATTAAATATATTTAATCTATCATCATTAATATCAGACGGACATATATATAGTTTATTTGATCTGTATTGATATTATTATTAATAATAAATGATATCTTAAAATTGAAAATTATAATATCTATGTCTATTACTATTAATGTTCGGACATCTAATGAGTGAATTAAAATAATTGTTGCATTTTAAAATTTGAACTTATTTTTGAATAAATTTTCACTTTTTAGAACTAGAATTAGTAGTTCCGGAAGAGGAAAATATCATTAGTCATGATGATTATTACTATTTTATTTAATACTACCATAAATATTTTGTAATTCAAAAAAAAAAAAAATCTTAAATGTAAATAACAAATAACACAAAACAATACAATATACAGATAAAATGGAACAAACAAGTAAACATATTAATTCTTGTTTAATTAAATAATTACTATATTATATTATTAAAATATATTTACAATAGAAGAAAAATCATTAAATTAAAATTAATTCTAATTTTTAAATTCATCTGATTCTAATAGTATTTTCGTTTCCCTCTTGCAATGACCTATCATTTTCGAACTTAGTAATTCAATTTGATTCAATTCATCCAATTATTAAATAAAATTTTATCTTATCTCTTCGAAAAAACGAAAAAATTTTAACTTATGAATGGATCGGATTTGTGAAGTTATTGATTATTGTATTTTTGTAGTCACCTAATACGATATGAAGATATTAAATTAGTCAATTAATATAGATAAAAGAGGCTATCTTCAATTGGACTAATCTAATGGGACTATGGTTATAAACCATAATCTCCGAAATTTCGAGGTTAATAACATGTGACTTTTTGATAGACAAGAAAGTGTCAAATAAAAAAAAAAACAGAAATTCAATAAAAAAAATTTTTAAATAATATTTTAATTATTGTTATTTAAATTATTATTTATTATTTTAAAAATTTGTTTAATTCATCTATTACAAAATCTAGAATAGTATGATGTAATTTTATACTTTTTGGCAACATATTCAGCAAGTTTACCAGTAATTCCATTCTAAATTCTCCATTTTAATTCTAAGGTTTGTCCTTTATCTGTTCAAATAATGAATCTTCTTTTATTAAATCTGATTCTTCATCCTACCCACTATCATCAATATTAACCCATTCTTCATTATTATCTTCATATCCACATTCATTATTATAAATTAATCATATTTGCATATTTTTTTAAAATTATCATTATACTGTTATTTTTTAGCATTGATTTTTTTTTGTATGGATTATCCAATCTAATCAAATACATTAAAATTATATGCTGTTGTTACACGGTAATTTTTATTATTTTTAAATATAAATATATATATATAAAAATATAAATATAAAAGCTTAGGATCTATAGATTTTATTCTTTTTTTCCTTTTTTAGAATGAATTAAAGTTATATAAATTTATTGTGGTTCATAGAAAATCACCATAAATTTTCACTATTTGTATCACAAATCATTATGTAACAGATCACCAGATTTCGGACTAACGCGACTAGCATCGTAGATATTTATAACTTCACTATTTGTATCACAAATTCGACAATCATTATATAACAGACTACCCATTGTTAGTATTGAATTGTTAATTCGCGCCACAATTTATCTAAATTCTAAATTCGTAATTTTGTACATTAAAAATTAAGTCGCAGCTCTGTAAATTTTCTAAATTTTGAAGCATTCAGCCAATTATTTAGAAAAAGAAAAGATGCCTAAAAAAATTCGAAAAGAAGTTTCTATTAAGTTCTAATGCACATCACACAAATTGTTTTACAAGCTTAATTTCCTGTGTTCTAGAGAAAATAAAAAATATATAAAGACGAGTAAACTTTTCCTCATTTTAAAGTTTCACTATTAATTTAAATAGTTAAGATGAAATCTCAATCAATATATTCATCATTATTATTGTGTATTTTAACTTTTACTCATTTTCTACCAATAGCAGCGTACAAATGTGTCGATTTTCTGGATCCTTTAGATCCTTCTAAGCAAGCAATTGTAGATTGTCCACCTACTGTGAATAATGACGCTTATGTTAAGCGTCAAACCACCAACACCACCACCACCAATTTCTTTTTAGTAACTCATACTTGTAATGCTACTGCAGCCGTGTGTGCTAAGGTCAGAGAAGCCTATGATAACGCTGGAGAAGAAATATCAAAAGTATTGAAATTAAAACAGATAATTCATGTAAATGCTACTTTTACAGACCTTTTTGATGCAACTATATTAGGTAAAGTAACTTTCACAATTGACAATATTTATCATTTCAAGGTTTATTCGCTTTATGATTATATAATAATATTTATTATATTTAAAAAGGTTCTGCTTATAGTGCACGATATATGTCACTGACCTCAGATGATAAGATCATGAGGAACTATCCTCAAGCTCTTGTAAAACAGTTTTCCTTAACCGTATATCCTGAATATAATGCTGACGATATTCTTGCAAGTTTTAATGCAGGTAATAATCAAATAATATTATCAAAAATATCAAAAGAATATTTACAATATTAACAGTTAATTGTATTATTTTTTATAGGCCAAAATTGGTGGTTTAGAACTGATAACGAAACAATCGGTTCTGATCAATTTGATTTTTATCTAATCGTATTACATGAACTTATACATGGACTTGGATTCTCATCAAGTTGGGGTAATTACATCGAGGTTGCAGATAATCAAAATACCACTGGTCTTACTCCTAATGTCAATTTCAATGATGACAGTCAATTTGAAGGATTTACAGAACGTATTTTTGATAAATATGTAAAGTTCATACCAAATGGTGTATCAAGCACATCGATATATTACACTTCCCAGTTAAATGAGTCGATACCTATTGGAACTTCATTCAATAATATCTCAGAATTTGTCACTCAAATAAAATCTTCTCCACAATGGGATTATGCAGAATCTGCATTATTATCGGCAACTACTAATGGTGGTTTGACCTTTATACCTGCGAAAAACACAAGTTGGAATGAAGAATTTTATTTAGAATCTAGTATAATTCCTTATGTTCAAGGTTCTAGTATAACTCATATCAGTTTACTATATGAATCAACTTCCGATTTTCTGATGAAATATATTTTCAATCCTGGAGAATCAATGGAATACTTAATCCAAAGAGGTGGGAATTACTCATCTCCAATTGGACCCAGAATTTTGTCTGTACTTGAATCAATTGGATATGAAACAGATGCTTATCCTAATCCAATTATACCTACATATGAACATTAATGTTAGCGTAGCATTATCCATTCTATAATAATTGTACTATTACTTTATAATAATTGTAATTTTATTACTTTCTATAATAATTATATTTTATTTTTTAGTTAATTTATTTTTATTTTCTATCGCTCTTCCAAATAAAGAATGTTTCTTATCCAAATTGCTAATCGTCTTTATTCTATCAGTAATTGTCTTAAATTTAATATTATTTTTAAGCCTGTTCACACGTGCCATTATAAAATTTTTTTTATAATATTTCTTATGATTCAATAACTATATTGCGGTTTATAGGAGAGAACGAAATCTGAATTTCACAAAAATTTTTGCGATCTTATTTTAAATTGTCACTTCGCAAAACGAAAAACATTATAAATGAAAACTTCATAACCATAAATGTGAAGCAAATTACCCCATTTATTTATTATTTGCATCTCTTATAATTGAGTCTTTTTTTAATATAAATAATTTATTGTTTAATTAATAAAGCTTTATTATTATTCCTAAAAAAATAAACTCTTTCCGCTGATCATTTTTAGCGAAAATTCAAGGAAAGTAAGTTCTGACTAAAAATAAAAACATATGTATATAAACAACAAAGAGTCAGGAACGAGTATGGGAAACGAGAGCGGACGCACGAGACGGTTCACATCAAACTACAGAATTAGTTATAGTAATGTAAACGTCCACAAAAGAATTTTGAACAAAAAAGTGCCAAGCAGCATGAATTCGAAAAAGCATTATTTTAAAGAAAATAATATAGACGAATACAACCAACATGGAGATATCATCGACTGAAGCAAATTTATTATTAAATCAAGATAATATAGTGGAAGGAAATTTAGATAATATAATATAGTAATTGACAGCACTAAGGATAATTCAAAGGTAAAGAGAGAGAAATTGACGCCACAAGAGTAGAAATAGACACCAATGAATCGGTAAACTCAGAAGATAGTTTTCTAAGCGCACATGAAGAATGGAGAAAAAGAATTAATTTACAAAAGTATAAAGTATGGATCAAAACAGCAGATGTTAGTGTAAAAAATTTAAAAGAAAAAAACGATTTGATAGTAAATTTATTAGATAAAAACAATATTAATATAAAAAAAGTATACTTGTCACTAGAGATGCAGACTTATGCTAGAATTTGAATCGTGTCATATATTTTTTATATGCCATGACCTATCTACGTCATAGACTTAAGTTCATTCATATTCTAAAGTCTGCACCTCAGGGTCAGGGAATTATGTAATTTTGCCTAGCGGTGATAATCACCACTGGTGACAAATAGATTTACCCTTAATATTATTACAGTTAAAACGGAAAAAAATTTTGGATAAAAAATGAAGGCATGCAAAATTGAAATTAAAGAAACACGGTTAAATTCCTGTTACTGTTCCTTTTTCATTTGGGTGTATTGCCGCTCGCTAAAAAATAAATTCGGAAATGTAATATGAGCACATTTTTGGAAAGAAAACACAGCAGAAATCTATTATTAGAATGATCACATAATCAACGAAGAATCATGCAGAGTAACATCTATGCAATTTTAAGAAAGAGGAAATACGCAGTAAAGATCATCAATTTACCACCTGGTATAACTGCACGGCACGGGAATTATATATTAGGAATCAAAACAAGTTATTTCCGAGAAATTTATATGGAAAAAAGAAAAAAAATGGCAATAGTTTCCTTTGAGAGTCAGGAAGGGAAGGAACAGATAATAAACTTTGAATGAGATTATAAAGTAAAAATAGTGGATACAGCAACAAAAACGTGTCGCGGAAAATCATTTGTTCCCGTGTCACAAAAACGAAGAGAAATCAGTGAAAGAAAGGCAAGAGACTTTGAAAAATATGGTCACCTATACAGAAAACAAAGGCCTTAGACACAAACTGTTTTATAAACTTAATTCCCGGAGTTCGCAAGAAAAATAATAATAAAAAAAATATTTAAAGACGAGTAAACATTTTCCCATTTTAAAGTACTCTTAATTCAAATAGTAATGATGAAATCTCAGCCAATCTACTCATCATTATTATCGTGCATTTTAACTTTTACTCATTTTCTAACAATAGCAATAGAAAGATGTGTTGATTTTCTAGAACCTTTAGATCCTTCTAAACAAGTAATTGTAGACTGTCCACCTACTGCGAATAATGACGTTTATGTTAAGCGTCAAACCACCAATTTCTTGGTAGTAACTCATGATTATACTGCTACTGCAGCCTTGTGTGATAAAATCGAAGAGGCCCTTTAATGACGCTGGAGAAGAAAAATCAAAAGTATTCAAGTTAAAACAAATAATCAACGTATATGCTACTTTTGTAATCCTTTAAAATACTTTTTTAGGTAAAAGTAACTTTCACAATAGACAATATTTATCGCTTTTCGGTTTATTCATTTTATGATTACATAATAATATTTATAATATTTGAAAAGGTGCTGCTGGTAGTGCACGATATAAACCACTTACCTCAGATGATAATATCACAAGGCTTTATCCTCGAACTCTTGTAAAACAATTTTCTTAAACGTATATTCTGAATATAATGTTTACGATATTATTGCAAGATTTAATGCAAGTAATAATCAAATAATATTATCAAAAATATCAAAAGAATATTCACAATATTAATTCTATTATTTTTATAGGCTATGAAAGGTGGTTTAGAACCGATAACGAAATAATCAAATCTAATCAATATGATTTTTATGCAGTTATGTATATTGGGTTCGCATCAAGTTGGGATAATTACCTTGAAAACTCAGTTAATCAAAATTATACCACCGGTCTTACTCCAATTTATGAATTCTATATTTGATAGATATGTAAAGTTCGTAAGAAATAATGTAGAAATATTACATTTTCCAGTTAAATAAGGCGGTACCTATTGGAACTTCATTTAACACTAACTCAGAATTTGTCACTAAACTCCACAATGGAAATATGAAGAATCTGCTTATGTCGGCAACTACTAATGATAGTTTGTCCTTTACACCTGCGAAAAACACAAGTTGTAATGATGAAATTTTATTTAGAATCTAGTTTACATCCTTATGTTCGAGGTTCTAGTATAAGTCACGCCAGCGAAATATTTGAATCAACTTTCGATTTTTTGATTACACGGAGTCAAAGCTCCTGGAGAAACACTAAAAGACTCGAATGGGAATTATGGACGCAGAATTTTTCTATACTTGAATCAATAAAATATGAAACAGATGCTTATCCTAATCCAATTTAAACCTACATATGAATATTATTGTTAACATTATCCATTATTACTTTCAATAGTTATTACTGTATATTAATAATTATATGTATTTATTAATTAATTTATTTTTTTTTATCGTTCTTTCAAATAAAGAATATTTCTTCTCAAAATTGATAATCGATCATTTATTGTCTTGTTAATAATCATAAAAATAAATTTAATATTATTTTTAAGCCTGTTTACACGTGTTATTATTAAATTTTTGTGATATTATTTTAAACTGTCACTTCTAAGATGTAAAACGGAATAAAAACTTCACAACCATAAATTTTGAAGCAATTACCTCATTTCTTTAGAACTTGCATGCCCTTATTATTGAGATCTTTTTTTAACTATAAATAACTTATTGTTTAATTAATATAACTTAGATGCTTAATTTTAGCTTCATTTAGCCAAATATAAATATTCCTAAAAAAATGCAGTTATATCATAAATTATATTAATAAATTAAATATTTTATCTCTTTTTAATTTGAAAAACTTCATAATCATCCATTGAAAATTCACCACTTGTTTCTCTAATTAGTTTTTCATAGCTTTGATTATAAAGAGTGTAAAACGATTGATTTCCACACATACAGAAATTATCGCCACCAAAATTTGGACCATAACAAGAATTATAAATAGCCTTACTTGCAATTTTTACACGACTAAGAATATAATCTTTGATATTTCCATTTTTTAAAGAAAATATAAAACTATCATTAGCTCGAGAATATCCTCTTAAATTGGAATTCCAACCAATAGGATTGTAACCACCAAGGATCTCGTCAGTATTTTTAACTTTCACAACAAGAACAAGATTTTTTTTCTGATTACACAAATCCCAAAATATATCTCTTTCAAATCCATCCAACATTCCACGAATAATAAGGTCGAATTCATAAGGATTGTTATTTACATCATAGGTTACTTCTTTCTTATCAATCCAAGATGCAATTTCAGCTGCATGTTCATTTGTAATAATTGATGATGTAATTTGAAAAGTATATCCACGATTTGAAATTTGAGTGATGACTATTTTACGAGGTGGTAAAATTGTTGTGGTAATAGGTTTGTTTGGAGTCATGGAATATTTTAAAATATCTGTCATTAATTTTTTTTCAAGAATTTGTTGATATGGATATATTTTTTCCATAATATCTTCATTAGAAAATTGAAAATATCGAATGTGAGGTAAACAATGTTGTAAGGTATTTTTTAGAATTTGAAAATCCTTATCAATCCAATCATCAAGGTTCGAAGGTAAAGTTTTATTTTGAGCAATTCCCCATTGAATTACGTAATCCCAAATTTTGGATTCCACAAGTTGTAAATCATCCCTTTGAATAATGGATACCAAAGCTGCTTCTGGAAGTGTATTAAAATCATTTGATTCAAAAATCAAGTTAGGATGTTTTACGATTATATCATTACAAAAATTTTGAAGTGCTTTAAAATGAATTTGAAAACATGAATTATAAATTTTCGAAAAATTTAATTTTAACCAAGAAGGATGATTTTCAATAAGAAAAGTCTGAAGTCTTGCGACTAATTCTTCAAGTTGAAATTCATTTACAGTTGCCAAAAGATCAAAAATAATAGATGTTTCAACTTTTTCAAGATTGACCGTAGCTCCATAAATATATCTATTTTAATTATTTTAATAAATTACTAAAATTTTATTTTTAAAGTTAATATAATTTATTATTAAATATAGCCCTTACTTTATAATAATATTAAAAATTTTAGCAGATATCTGTGGTTTTTGAATAATTTTAATATTATCATCGTTATTAATAGTTGATTTTTTAAATTCATCGTAGAGATAAGGACATCGGTAACATAAAACTGTTGAATGAACTCTAAAAGTTTCCACAGCTGGAGGTTCTCCGACTTCAATAATAATATTATGTTCATTACCGTTTTCTAAAAGCTTAACATAATCATTTGATAAATTTTCATAAAAATTAAAAGTCATTTTGAAGAAGTAACAAGTGAAACAAGAAAGTGAAAATGAATAAAATGAAAAAAGGGTTGGTCAGTCTTTTCTTAGTTTCAATGAATATTCTTATTGTGTATTTGTCATACTTTAAATAATCTAAATTAATATTCCATTGTTTGCTTATTTATTCGACTCAATAATTTGTAAAATAAAATATAAAATGTCTTTAAAATTATTTTTTTGATAAATTATCTCAAAACTTTATTGAACTTCTTAATGATCAAGATGATAATAATGTAATCTTTGAAGTTGAAAATAAGGAAAAATCTTTTACAGCATATTGAAATTTTGATTGATTAATATGATTTAATGTGTTACTATACTAACGAATTTAAACTTGAGGAATTAACTAAAAATTAAAATCACTTCTTATTGAAATCAAAACTTCTTGGTTAAAAATACATTTTTCTCTTATTTATCATACTATTTTTAGTAAAAAAAAGAAACCAACTTTTAAAATTTTTGTGATGAGATTGAATTGTTGCGAACGATCGGTTCAGATTTTAATTCCAATTTTTGCTTCTCTTCCAGAATCTTGCACCATTGTCACTCCTTCGCAAACAAAATTATTTACGAATGGAAGAAATTAAAATTGGGATTATGTCATCCAGCGGAGGTATTGCTCAAAATTTTCTTATATTAAAAAATAACTTTTACAAACAATGTCTACCACTTATTCGTTACTTTTATATTTCAAAATACTGAAATTATTGATAAATTTTGACTTATAAGAAAAAAAATATATTAATAAGCATATGGAAATCCATTAAAATATCATGCTAATATAATTGTGGTAATGAAAGTTCCTTTAGCATGAGATAAAATTCTATTAATGGAAAATGGATGGATGGAAACAAATGATAGTTTCATTTTTTCATTAAAAATGGTAATATTCAAAGGAGAATTATATTTCTGACATAATTATTATTCATATAAACATTAATTAAAAAAAAAGTTTAATTTTGTATTACGTATTAAATAGAATAAAAAAAAAAAAATTATTTCAAGATTTTAACGTTTCGTAAGAAAATCGAATCCAAAAATATGGTGGACCAAACGATCTTTGCGTCATATTATTAAAGAATCGATCTTTCCAGGAGTTTTTTTTTTACTCTACAAAGAATTGAATTTTATTTGTGACTTATTCTTGAAACACATCATTTTAAAAGTCGAATCCCATGATTTGTAATATAAATAATTTATTTCCGAATATTATTGTTATTATTTTAATCTAATTTTTAATAAAGTTATCGATTGATTGCAGCAGCTTTATTGGTAGATTTTATTTATATTATTTGTTTATTTTAATCACGACATTTCATTTAAATAAATCTGAAATTATGTAGAAAATAAGCATACTGAAATAATATAAAATAAAAAAAACTTGATTATCTCTTTATTATTTTTTGTATTATAATTATTATTTTTTTTTCTTATCAATTCATAAATTCATAAATTCATATACGTAGTAAGTTACCTGAATCGAAATAAAAATGCTTTTTTTTAATTGGACATTGAGTTGTGAAATAGTAAGACAATGTATGATAGATAAGAATTCAGGGGAATTTATAAATATTTATTTGGAGATTTCTGCGACGACGATACTAGAATCATGCATGTATACAACTTTAAAGTTCCTTGAATTCCTTCTTTTTTTTGAAATTGAATTAATATGTAATTGAATTAGTACGTAATAATATGTATGATTGTTTATTTTTGTAATTTATACATGTATATAAACCTTAAATTTGAACACAACTATATTACTTTTTCCACTGTTACGAGCTCTCTCTCCTAAGTATCCTTTCACTTCCTCCCCTTCTAATTTATATTGTCAATCGTCCAACTGTTATTGTGATACAATACATAACATAAAAATTTTTTGTTCGCTTTTTCTGTTAATTTGTATCCATTATGAAAAACCAAATAGTAAATGTTATTACCTAAATAATCTAATGCTAACTAAATAATTTAATTTTTTTTTAATTACTTTAATTAAATAATGTATTTTTCAATTAACTAAAAATTTTTGATTATCTAACATGAAACATTTTAATTTTATGTGATTAATAATAATAATAATAAATAAATAAAATAAAATATTAATAATAATAATAATAATAATAATAATAATAATAATAATAATAATAATAATAAAGAATAAATAATAATTAATGGAAAAGAAAAAAACCAATCCTAAACGGTTAAAGAAATCAACAAAACATAGATTTAACGATTTCTAAATTAGGTAAGATCACAAAAAATGTGGTATAACATTATGCTGCACGTTGGTTGTTTTTTTTATAGAAAACGAATTCTAAAAAAAATACATTATTTATATTATTATTAATCTGTTCACTCAAAAAATTGCGCATTAATATAATTATAATAAAATAATCAACACAAAAGAAAAAAAAAAGAAAATCTTTCCATAAAACAGTTGTTCAAAACCTAATTCGATTTTTTTTTATATCAAGAGATCATCCCTTCATACATTTATTTAGATTGAAATATTTTTAGATACGATGCCAAATAAAATATGAACATCCAAATAATAATAATAATAATAATAATAATAATAATAATAATAGTATCAACTATCAAAAAGTTCTGCCGCTGCTACCAAAATAATTCATTATTCAATATTAATTTAGCTAATATTTTTAAATGCATGTCACGTTTAGCAGCAACATTTAATCGTATTTGATTGTATTTACGGGTGCATAACAGATTGTACCAATGCTTTGTTAGAATAAACAAAGATAATACTTTAGATGGTTTACATTCAAAACAATTAAATGAAATTTGATTGTAATCAAAAGAATTATCCTCTCTCTGGCTCGTCTTATATATTTTCGTATTTTTTTTTTTGATTATAAAATATAAATCGTTCAAATTTGTACGAAAGATGTAAAGGAATATAGAAATTATTTAAATGGTTCAACAACAAATAATTCGTTAAAGTAAAAAAATAAAGGGCGGAGTATTTATTTTACAATTCAATGAAACGTTTTTATCGCGAAAACCGGGTATTGTCTAACATAATAAATAATAAAAAAATAATAACACATTGACAACTTTATTTATTTATTTATTATTAATTAATTAAATACATCGGTAATTTATTTTTAATTTATTTTTTTATTATTAAAAATAATAATTGAATTAATTTAAAAAGTGATTAAAAAAAAATAAAGTAATTAAATTAATTTAAAAAAAAAAAAAATAATTAATTTTTTTCATAGAAAAAAAAAGATTCTATCTCATAATTCATATAAACATTTTCCAAATATAGTATTTGTAATAATTATCTCATTGGAAAACTTTAATTATCAATTATTCGTTTCATTCACCGAATTTCTTATTGGCATGTAACACGAAAATATATATATATAAACTATAAAAACCTGGTTTTTTTTTTTTTTTTTTGTACTTGGTTTAATTTATCCAAATAACTAAAAAGGACAAAATTATAAATTATTTCAAGTTACAAAGTTAAATAAATGCACATGCTACAAAAAAGTTACAAAAGGTAAATATCATTCCTCTCTTCGTTCTCTCCCTTTTTTTCTTTTCAAATTTCTCTTCTTTTTATTCTTTCTTTTAATTAATCATCCCCACCCACGAAAAATATATTTATATATATTATTTAGATAATAATAATAAATAATAATTCTGTATCACATACTTTTTTGAATAAATATTATGTGATTTTTTTTCTAAAGAAGAGAGATAAATAATTTTTTTCGCACTCTTAACATTCTATAATATATCTTTTTTAGATCATATTTTTTATTGGTATTTTATTTTTTTTCTAAATTTTTTAAAATTAATTAAGAAAAGATAAGAACTGCAGGAGGTAATTATTATATTAATTTATTATCATTATTATTCAATATAATTAATTAATCAATCATTTTCTCATTTTTTTTTTTTTTTTTTTACATTTTATTCTAGCAAGTTTTTATTTTATCTTTGTACATAGAATAGAATTTTATTTAAGTTGTCTCACGACACAAATTATCCTCATATATAATATTATACTTAGAAAAATTATCATTTCATTATTATAAGTGTTTTATTTCACTTCGAACCATTACAGTATAATATTTAAAATATTTAAAAGCAACAAAAGAAAGACAATTTAGATATAAAAGATACGTTATCATATCACCATGTCATCTATCTCAAAACGAGGTAGATCAGATTATTTCAATAGGACAACGCCACCACCATCATCAAGTGTTAGTGACACCGAACATTTATTACAACCAAAAAATAATGAATTACCTCAGTATTATAGTAAAGATAGATATGTTGGTCGAGGTGTTGGTATAAGGAATGGAGAAATAGGTGGTGGAGAACTTTATTTTAATAATCCATTTTTATTACACCAAAATTTAATAATGCGAGAACGATTTATAAGGCGAACCTTAAGTTTTATTATATTAGCATTGATAATTATCTTCTTGACTTACGTTTGGTTTTCACCTCTTGGTACATTACGATATTCTAATCATCATCATCATCATCATCATGATCCCTCTCCTCCTTCCTCACCTCAACATGATAATAAAAATAACAATGATCGATATAGACAATATTATAATTACAATCCTTATCATCATCAATCTTCAAATGAAGAAATACATCTCTATCGAATCCTTGGAAATGATTTACCTCCTCGTCATAAACCGGGTCAAGTCTTACAAAATTTAAGATTTGTATTAGAAAATGAATCCCATTTTTATAATACCAAGAAATGGTGGATATTAAATAGGATAGTAGATTCCGATTATGAGGATGCAATTTTGGCTTTGTTGAGACGTCATAATCAAGATTATATTAGAATACCTTTCGAAGAGGAAGAATATTTAAAACGAGATTTTAGATTAGAAGATTTTCCGGAACCCGATTTCTTTCATTCTTATGAATATATGAATTTTTCTAAAGTTGCTAAATTGAGAACAATTGATTTTACTTACCATTATAAAAATCTTTACGCCATGAATAATGTAGGTGTTTTTCGTGTAAATTTTATTATAATCCATTTTTTTTTAATCATTTAATTAATATTCCATTATTATTATTATTATTATTATTATTATTTTATTAATTTTTTTTTTTTTTAGAATGCCGGAAGAAATGCAGCCTTACAACATGGTCAATCACAACCTAATGCCAAATGGATAATGCCATTTGATGGAAATTGTTTTTTGACAGTGAATGGATTTAAAGAAATTATACAACAACTTGAGAAATGGGGTAAAGATTATAAATATTTCGTCGTACCAATGACAAGATTATTAAATAATACGCACTTATTGGTGGAACCGGATAAGAAACCTCCTACTCCTGAAGGTATGAGAAATTCCATTCTTATCTTTATCATTATCTTTCTCTTTATTTTATTAGATTTTGTTAAAATGTGATCTCTTTTTTTGTATTATATTTTTTTAGAACCGCAAATCATATTTCGTTATGATGCTGAAGAAAAATATAATGAAGACATGCGTTATGGTAGAAGATCAAAGGTATGATGATGATGTTGATGATGATGATATTTCACAACAACAAAAATATATATTTTTTTTCATTAAATCATTATTTTTAACAAACATACGTGATTTTCATATTTATATAGTTGGAAATGTTATGGAGATTGGGTGTCGAAACTTCACGTAAAATATTCAAAAAACCTTCAGTACCATGGGAGAATCAATATATTCCTCAATTTGATCCACCTAAAAATAAATTTAAAATGATAGGATGGATTTTTCGACTTTTCTCTGGAAAAGCATTACAAGAAGGTAAATAATAATAAAAAATAATAATAATAAAAATCATTAATTATTAAATTTTATTAAATATTATTTATTAAATATTAATCGTATATTAATTTTGACACGCTTATTCATTATTATTATTATTATTATTATATTATTATTATTTTAATATATATATATATATATAGAATCGGGATCTTTAAGAGCATTCAACCGTTTACTTGCCATTCAAGATTTTTTAGATGGAATAGATGAACGAATTGCTCGTATCAATCAAGGATTTGATTCCAACCGTTTATCCTTATATAATGAAAAATTACTTAATGCGGCTAGATTAGATTATTGGTCTGGTAACCCGGAGATAGAAAAAATTGTTAATATCATGATCGAGAAAGCCAATGGAATATCTCTTTATATATCAAAATTATATAAAAAATCAGATAATTCACCATTTCATATAAGTACTCAAGTAAAATTTTTGGAGGTGAATGAAGACAACAACAACAACAAAAATGAAATTGATACGGTTGAATCGTCATCATTTCGATCATCACATAATAAATCACCTCCTAGATTCAGTTCATCAGAAAATGATTTATTACCCGAAGGATTTCAACGTGATGTATTTGGTCAATACATTTTTAATTCACCAATTTCAATACCAAATGTTTCGACTTCATTATTATTTGAAAACATCACAACTTTAACTTTAGCTTATCATTTTTCTGGTGACAGTCAATATTCTCTTTGGGCGGCAAATTTAATTCGTACATTTATTCTTTCATCTTATGGAGTTAGTGAACAAGATGAACTTACGGTAACATCTTATAAAGATGATTTGGATGCTGTAAATGATGAAGGTTATGGTTTTCCACATTTAAATAAAATTCCCAGGATGATACCAAAATTTTTTGAGAAACCACCACAAAAAAATAATAATGAATCATCAACGTTATTATTCCCTTATGATTTAATTGATACGGATCCTAGTCATTTTCTTGATGCTTGTCGATTACTTTATAAATCAAATACTTTAACTCATAAAGAATATATTGATTTACAACAATTCGCTTCAAGGTGGTTAGAATATTTAATTAATTCACCGGAAGGTATATCTCGAGCTCGTAGACCGGATCATCAAGGAACTCTTTATGATTTACAAGTTCTTTCATTATCCGGGTTTACTAATGATGTGAGACTTTATCTTCGAATATCAAATCGTTTAAGGATGCGAATTGGAAAACAATTTCATATATCCAATGATGTTTCATCATTACCTACAAAAATATCTCAACCTTATGAATCAATTTACGTTAATAAACAATTCGAAAAGATCAAAGGTTATAAGATTGATGAATCAAAAATAAAGGAAGATTTCTTAATTTATGAAAATGAAAAATTCAAATATTCCAATTTAAATTTACAATATTGGATGTTAATCACGAGAGTAATTCAAAATGCTGAAATTGGTAATGACCTTTGGAATTATAAATCGAAAAAAGTATTGAGATTTTCGAAAATTGTGATGGAACATTTAAATGAATTTTCAAATCGAAATAGTAAATTTGAATACTTTAGTAACCTTAATTATAATGATGATCATATTAGTAATAGTAATCATAATAGTTCTAAGAATGTAGATATAATCGAAGAGAATCACGTAATGGAAATCATGGATATGAATGATATATTAAAACCATTGGTTTATAAAGCTCAAGCAGCACATGAGTGTAATGATAAAAAGTTAGGAATTTCACATGAATATGGTGACGAACATGATTATTTTCGACAATATTTAAATAAATTTAGTGATAAAATTGATCTAGCGAAAGGAACTACCGGCAGTAGTGATCCGGGTAATGTCATCGCGACGGAAAAATTGAAAAGAGACAAATTAGATTTGCAGTTGGGATTAGGCAAGAAATCAAGAGAATGGGGCATACCACCATTTTGGATGTTTGGAATTGCTTAATAATAAAAATTTAACAACAATAAATAACAAAATAACAATCGTTACAAATTAATTTAATTAAAAAAAATGATATTACTTATATACTTAAATTTATTTTGTATAGTCAGCAAAATAAAAATTAATAACGATGAAATAAAGTGTTACAAAGAACATAAATTATTAGAAAGGGTTAAAAAAAAGTGTAAGATAAAAAGGAAGAAAAAAAAAAATTAATATTTTTTTTATCAATTTTTCTTGTAAAAAAAATATCTTTTTAACGTTTTTTTTTTAACGTTATTATTATTTATCATTACTATTAATTTTTTTTTTTTATGTACAAATATTCCTCAAAAAAAAACCATTATTACATCCATTACATTAACATATATTTATAAAATAATTTAGATAATTTTAGAATTATTAGATGATTTAGATAATGATTGAATAATTCTAAAAAAAAAAAAAAAAATCTTTATGGGCTTCTTTTTGTTTGTTTTTAAGAGTTATAAAAATGTAAATATCAATAAAGTCCTTTTCGGAAATATAGGTTATTAACGAATTTTTATTTTTGTTTATTCTATGATCTCATTCTCGCTTCTATCGTTAAAATGAAAAAAATAATTTAATTGTATGCATTCGTCGTGGTTCCAAAAATATAGCATGCTACAATTTTTTTTTGTAAAGTAAAATATAAATAAATAAAGTTTAATTCAAGAAGAGGATATGTTCTCGATCACGTACAAAATTCTTTTCAAGTGTTTTGAAAATCTTTTTACTTCTGTGTATTTACCAATTGGATGAAAGCGTTTCGTGCCGTGACTTCGATGTGACTTCACCGAAAAAGGAATAATATTGGGCTGGAATTCTATACTACGATAAAAAAAAAAATTTATAATTATTAAATAACTCTTTGTAATTTTTTATGGAAATAAAGAAAATAAAGAGATTTCGTTAAAAAAATAATTAATTATATTGTCTTGTCTATGGGAGTTCAATGAATCTCATTTTACCTCTAACGCGTGATGTAGTCATATCATGTGTTTATCTCTTCTCGAAAATAAAAATTTTTGAGGAATATTTAAGAATTAATTTATCTCCTCCCCCCACAACCTGTTGACTTCCTCTAATAAAATTTATAATATAATACTTACTGAATGGCATTATCATTATTATTATTATTATTTAATTTATCCGATTTTTTAAATTAAAACATTGTAACGTATAATAAGTTCATGTTATAGTATTTATTGTATTGTACAGTCGCGTCGCAAAGTAACGCCCGATTTTTATTAAAAAAAAAATTCCGATATGTACATGATTTATTCTATTTCTATATTATGTACATAAAGTTTTTTTTTTAGAATTAATTAATACTTTGTTGGTCCTCCCTTTGCATCCAATGCTGCTTCACAACACTCCTAAGAATTGATACATCAAATTTTGACCACTCCTCACTCAAAGCAGTCTTGAGCTCATCTACGGTTTTTGGAAATTTTTTTTGTTTCTGGATATTGTCCTTTAACAATTTCCAGATGTTTTCTATAGGGTTAAGGTCAGGAGAATTCGCTGGCCAGGCCATATTTTTAATTTTTTTTGTCTCGAACCATTTTACAGTTTTTTTTGCAGTATGGATTGGAGAATTATCATGTTGAAACACCAGTTTCCCACCTATTAACTCATGAGCTGTATTATAAAATGGTAAAAGGTGAGTCTCTAGAATTCTAATATAAGTATCTGCATTTATTTTTTCTTTTTTTTCTTTAAATTCATCACAAAACACTAATGGTCCTTTTATTTCTCCCACAAAACATCCCCATATCATTACTGAGCACTGACCACTTTTGAAAGTAGGTGTTAAACACCCAACATCATATCTCTCTCCTGTATGTCGCCATACTTTTATTTGTCGTGATTGTTTTCCAATTTCCATGATCATTTCATCTGAAAAAATTATGCGTGACCAATCATAGACAGATTTGTTCTTATTTTCTTCACACCAACTAATACGTTTATTTGCATTATTTTCTGAAATAAATGGCTTTTTTTGCTGCAATGTGGGAATGAATCCCAGCATTATATAGTGTTTTTTTAGCAGTTGTTAAACTGCAGCTTAAACCTAATTTATTGATAATTTCGTGCAATGGTGCACGTCGTATTTTTGTGACTTCATTTACAAGTGCATCTTTTTCATCATTATTAAGGGCCGGTGGCCATCCTGATCATGGAAAATTTTCAGTTTTCCCAGTTTTCTTGTACTTGGCAATAAACCTATGTATTGTGGTAGGATCTCGTTCCATTTTTTTTTTGCAATTTGGGTGGCATTTAAAGTCTCAGTATATGCCAGTATTTTCCCCTTATCTTGAGAAGTCAACTGGGTATGAGTGGATGTCATTTTTAACTGGAAAAAATGTTATATAACATTTATTCAATTATAAAAAAATAAATGGATAAGAAAAAAAAAAAACATAAAAAGAAAAAAAAAAGGGAATCAGTTGTGAAATATTGCATATTGTTACACCGGAAAATCGGGCGTTACTTTGCGACGTGACTGTACATTGTATATTGTGCATAGTATTATTAGTTAATTATTTAAAAATAAAATAATAATTAAACTGAAAAATTATAAAAATGTCTATGAATCAACTTGAACGAATTTTTTGTAGTAATAAAAATTAAAGAATTAAAAGATGGTTGTTATTAATACAATTAATAAATTCCATGCTCACAATACTCACAATACGAAATTTATTCTTCAAAAAGAAGATATATTTGCAGTTGAAAATCAATTGCTGCAAAAATTTCAGAAATAAATAATTATAATAATAATAATAATTAATCTTTGAACATTTAAATTCCAAAAAATTCAAAAAAATTAATGACCTTTTCAATCTTAAATTATTCTTTACTATGATAATTTTAAGTTTTTGTTATATTCATATTCAAAATAAATAAAAAAATATTGTAAAATAAAAGTACAAAGTCAAAAATACAAACCAATTCTTACCCTCGTCACATAAAATTGTCACAACTTCCATCACTTTTTTTATCAAAAATTTCATCACCATAAAAAAGAATCTTGGAGAAATAATGAAAATAATAATAGAAAAACACACCATTCTATTTCTCACTTCATAAACACAAATATTTTTCATTAAATATATTTTTATTTTAATAATAAATCATGATATATTTTCTAAGATAATAAAAATAAAAAATAAAAAATAAAATAATAAATAATAAACAATAAAATAAAAAATAAAAAATAAAAATAAAATAAAAAATAAAAAATAAAAAATAAAAAATAAAAAAAATATGAAATATGAAATATTATAAGATAAAAAAGACAATAAATTATCACATTAAATTAATTAATTAATTAATTAATTAACTTAACTACAGAATCAATAACTAAATAACATAATTATTACCTAAATTCATCAATTAGTTAATTCTTAGGTTTTTCTAGACTTAAAATCTACATTACATAATAATTTCCTTTTTATCCAATAACTGATCATTTTATTAAAAACTCTTTAATCAATTACTTAGAATAATTAAAAATAATTAAGAATAAGAATTAATAAATTTAAAATAAATAAAATCAATAAAATCATATCTCATAACAAGGATGTATGATACATCCTGTATCACACATTCCTAATAATAAGAAATATTAAATTAATCTTGATCAAATAATATAAATATACAATATATAACATATAAATATATATGCAGTAATTACCATATAATTAACCGAAATTTACAATTTTATTTTATCAATTTATAATCTTTTCCCTCCTCTCCTCCCTCAAATTTGTTGTTAAGAAAATTAACATTGATATTATTATTCTCATCACATGATTCTCACCAATAATCCTAAGTAAATTACGATTAATGCTAAATTGATTAAAAAAAGAATCCAATATCAAAATTAAATCTGTAAAATTTTCTTTTTAAATATGTTTCAATTATATTTCATACGAAGAGATTCTTTATTTTCTGACGATATCAAATCAGATTCAACTGATAAACCATTCATTTAATCAATTCATTACGTCGATTAGAAATATTAATATAATTATGCCCTAATATATTCTAAAATACTTCAATTAACATCATCATCAATAAATACTGTATATACAGGGTCAAATGTAACTTTTACCCGCAAAATTGATTAAAAAAATGTCTTTCTAAATATGACAAACATTATGATCCTTAACGATCAGGGATAGGTTAACAATCATGACATTATGACACATATGATGAAACATATGATGAAAATAAAAATTAGATGTTAATGTGAAATTTAATTTATGGCGTGATGTTTTTTCCAATGCTTAATTGAGATAATTACAAAAATTCATTCATATCTAATTCCAATACAAAATTTTTTATATTTTATTTTTTTTAATTAAAAAATAAACTTCATACTTACGTAATATAAGCGAAACGGATAATGTTTAAAGTATGCCCAGAATGCAATGAAAAATATAATAACGGTTGATAGGTGGTGCAACCGTGAAACTCAAAACATTTAAAAAATGATTTTGATAAATGAACAAGTGGAAATGATACAATAGTAAAAGGTGGTTATGGTACTATTTATTATTCTAAGTGGGTTTATGGATTTATTAAAAATTGGGATATTGAAAATCAACAATGGAAAAGAGGAAGTAAATTTGAAGTGGCGTTAAAAACGTTTAATATTGTAAATATAAATGAAGGTTTTTTAAATGAGGTAAAATAATACTTAAATTAATATGGAAATTTATTTGAAATATAATTATAATTTAAAATATTTATTTAGATGGAAATTCTCTCGAGAACAGATCTTGAATTACACTTTATGGAATTACAAGGACCCATAAACTCATGAATATATGATGTTTTAGCATATTATAAAGATGAAAGTCTTAGAAATTATTTAAATAATAATTTTAATGATATCACTTGGGATGATGAATTATTCAATTTAAAAGATTTAGCTGAAATATTTTCAAAAATTCATAAATTAGGTAAAGTTTTCATCCGGAAATATTTTAAGAAATGATGCGTATAACAGATTTTGGAGTGAGTAAATTAATTACAGAAAAATAAAAAATCGCCAAAAGAATACCATTTCTGGAGTATTACCCTATATAGCACCTGAAGTATTAATTGGGGGAAAATATACAAAAGCCGCTGATGTTTATTTGTTACTTATGAAATCATCACTGGAATTTCCCGATCACGAAGTGTCACGTGATAAAGATTTGGCTTTTTAAAGTATGTCCTTTATTAGAAATATTTGTGTTTGATAATTGTTTTGATATAGTCTCATTCGGAATAATGTTTTCTAATTCTTTACGAAAACAAGGTGATCGATATTTCAATATGTTAGAGTGAGCAGCAAAAGCTTTCTCGTTGTAGTCATCTAAGGAGTTCAGTAAAATTTTGAGACAATTTATCTAAAAATTTCAATGTCATTTTTCTATGATTTTGATTCGTGCTTCTGTGTTTCTGTGAATTTAGTTCGTATTTTTGGTGATTTTTTGAAAAAAAATGAATACATTTTTAAATTTGGCAGAGAATAAAAAAGACAAAAGGAGGAATTTACTGTGCTGTAGATCATTTGAAGATTGTCGAAATTTAATTTTCGTTCTTTAGTGTAGCTTCCATAAAACCAAAATATTTTATAATTCTTTTTTTATTTATTCAAACGCTATCAAATTTTATTAGTTAAATTATAAGCTATTTTATCATATGACTAAATGCAAGGGTTAGGGCTTATTATAAATCCTAGGACAGAATTTTTTAGCATGTGAAACCCATTTGTCATGCGGGCGTGTTAAAAACAAAACCCATGATTATAAAGAGTAAATGAATATTGAACTACAATCTCCACTACAAAAAAATAATATAATAATAATTTTAATCATTTTTTTTTTTATTTTGTTATTATTTCATTATATTTCATTATGAATAGTTATTATTGAAAATTGCTAAAGCTCACCAGTGGTGATTGTCACCACTGGGCAAAATTAAATTTATGTGGGTTAGGGTTGGTCAGGGAATTATGTAATTTTGCCCGGCGGTGACAATCACCACTGGTGAGCTTTAGCAATACCCTATATTATTTTCCTATATATACAGTACATGCCGAAGATCGGCTAACTTATATTCGTTCACCATTATTTTCAATAATTAATTGATAACGAGTTTATAAGATAATTAGAACCGTTTGGGGAATATTTTTTTGACATTCCTCCTTCATAAATTTTTCCAAATCGATCAACAACCGTAAAATGATATAAACTCGAACATTGTATTCAAATTTTAGATTAATTTACAAAATAATTTAAATGATTTATAATTTACAGCAACGAAAATTTTTCATTATTGATCAAACCCTCGATATTCTTTTTTTAATCAAATGCATAATTCAACAACCAAAATTCCTCTCAACCCACTTTTCACATCATTTAAGAATTCCCAATAAAAATTCAACTCAAATTCTTAATTCTAATCAAAAAAAAAAAATAAGATAATTTCAACCTCCTCTTTCTTTAATTTCTACAATCAAAAAAAAAAGTCAATGCGTATCATATTATAGTGATCATAATTTGATGAGCGAACAACGAACTGTCATTAATACCTCTCATTCACCATAGGTTAATGATAATAATAATTCGTCTTCAAATTTTAAGGATGAAAAATAAGTCAATGAATGATTAAACTTTAGATATTAATTATGGTGATAATTAAATTTTTTCCTTATCCTGTTACTGCTCATTATCCTATTATGATTTCTTTTTCTTTCGAAAATGGCGAATTTAAAATAACTTTCAAAAGTTAACATCTTCGGAAAAAAGAATAGATTCTATACATTTGCTAAAACATTTAAAAATAGGAACATTATTATTTTAAATTATTACTTTTATATTTATCTCCTAAATATATTATATTTCTCCAATCATGAATGTAATCCTTCTATCAAATATTTTATATCCAATTCTCCAATAAAGACTAAAAACAGTTTGGTTAATAGTTTATTGTTCTTTGAATTTTTTCTAGCATCATTCAAATACAAGAAAGAAATAAAATATCGGTATCTGACCTTAAATTTTTTTTAAAAAATGTAAAATTTATGTAATGATGTTTTTTTTTTTTGGCGAAAATCCAAAATAATAGAAAATTTCACCATTGCAATAATAATAACAATTAATTAAAAAACCAATTATTTCTATTCTTTACATAAATATATATTTGTTTAGAGGAGAATTTATCTATTTTGTGATAGTCGGCTAAAATAAAACGGAAACACTTTTTTCAAGTTTCCTGTAAAAAGTACTTTTTTAACGTTATTTTGCTATTAATTTTTTATGTACAAATATTCCTCAAAAAAAATATTTATTACTTATAACTTGATAATTAGTTGGTTTATTAATTTAGGTGATGATAAATACTCTAAAAATTTTTCCTTTTGTTTGTGAATTTATAAAATGAAAATTTAAATATTAATAAAGTCCCTGGTCAAAGGTTATTCGTGAGTGTTGAGGTGGTACGAAAACATCCTAAACACGGTGTCACTATTTGGATGAAATTATCCTTGTGCGTCGCACATCATCCTTCATCCGAGATGAAAGATAATATCCTCGTGTTTAAGGATGATTATGGATGAAAGTAAATAAAGGGTAAGATATAAAATAGCTGCGGAAAAAAGAAGAAAAAAAAGAGATTCCTTTTCGCCAAAAAGAACAAGAACCAAAATAAAAATATTTTACTTGATATTTCGAACAATTTCAATTTTAGTTTTATTTTTACTTAAATATTTTGAACATTTTAATTTAGTTTTATTTTTACTTTTTATTCATAATAATTTTTAATAATGATAAAATAATTTTGTAGAGCAATAGAGATAAGATACACCAATGCAGTAATATATCTCTATTGTTGTATTTCTGTAATAATTTTAAAAATTAATTTAGTGCAGGAGGAAGCAAAGTGATAAGATATGCCAAAGCAGTAACATATTGCTATTGTTATACTCCTACATGAAATTTTAATAAATTTTAATAAACTATTTTGTATTTCTTGACAAAGTTGTATTAAAAAGTATATTTCAGTTTGGTAGAGTACAAGTAGTAATAAAGATACTTTTACTCCACTTGCTCATTGTAACTTCAGATATTACACATAATTGCATTGTTTGTGAGTATTAGTAAGCAGATTTATATCATCTAATTATCTGTTTTGTTGTGTTTTAAGATATTATGCACAAGAGAAAGTGTATTAGTGATACATTAAATTATTATGTAATTATTCTAAACTTATTGAGACTGATTTGCGTAACTTTTCACAGTGTCATTAATGTTTTACTTGTTATTTCTTTCAATATTTCATTGTGAGTTTGTATTCTACATTTATTATTTGTTGAATTACTCTCTAAAAAATTTCTAGTGAAGAATTATCATTAAAAATATAAATAAATAATATTTCATATTAATGAATTAGTTATTACTATTTATTTATTTTTCTGATTTTATTTTGGGAATTAAATAAGGGATATAAAATAAACTTCTAAATCTTCAGTACATGCCATAATAGTTAAATATTTTATCTTTATTATTCTTTTATTTTATAAAATCTAAATTAGCCAATTGAACTTATACAAATGGGATTTAGACTAATTAATGTTAAGATTTATAATATCAAGAAACTAATAAATGTTACTTTATTATAATTTAATAAATGGATTATAAATAATATATAATTTTCATTCAATCAAAAAAATCAATTACCTAAATTACATAGAAATAAATTAATATAATTTATTATAAAAATAATATAATAATAAAAATAAATAAAAATATAACAATATTTACCAGGACATAAATCAAATATTCTAAAGTTCAAGAATGAAGTTGACTGGTATAAATTGCTTGTAGATGTGTCTGATAATTAAGAGGAGTTGTAGTTATTATAGTTGTATTGGCTGATTCTTGATTTGTTGAAAACCTTCAGCTTTTTTAATTTGAACTCCAATTTCCAATGTTTATTTTCCCTTTTTTAAATAATAATAATAATCATTATAGTATTTTCTCAACTCTTTATCTAATTCTTCAAGAGTAGATCTATGTGTAACTCGAGCATTCTAACCCTCATAATTATTCTTTTAATTAATTTTGGAGTATGAAATGGAATCTTAGGTCTTAAACCATTGCATATTTTTATGGCTAAGTCTTTTATTATGTAGTGTATCAGGATATGGAGGAAAGCCTGTAACTATTTTGTAAACAATAATTTTATATAAATATATATCAATGGCTTTTGTATATTTTTTACCACTTAATACTTTTAAGAACTATATGGTAATACATCAAATATATTCTTTTTTTTGAAACTATTTAGATTGTCTTTATTGGTTTATATAATTTAAAATCTGAAATCTTTGGATAATTAGGTAGTATCTATAAAATCGGAAGGTAAAATATTTCCAGGATAGAAGTCCTGGTGAACTATATCTAATCCATGAATATTCTTCAAATGTGCAGATAAACCCTATAGATATTCTAATTTTTGTTTCCAATTAAAAATTATTGAATTAATTTTTAAATATTCTCGAAGATTTTTATCTTTGCATATTCTAAAATCATTATATATTTATGTGTTTCTGGATCTTGTATAATTCCATAAAATTTAATTGAAACAACATTATTCTGTATTTTTAAGTGAATTCCCATCTAATATTTAATTTATAGTAATATCATTATATAAAAATTTAAAAATTTAATTTAAAATATTAATTATAAGATTGTGGCAAAGTAATTTTTTAAACATACGGAAGATGATAAATAATAATACTAAGATGATTGTATAAGGATAATAACTTGTGTTGTCATCCGAAAGATAACGTATGAGGATGAAGGATGAAGTACAAAGGATAATAGGCAAAAATTGAATGAAGGTGAAAAAGTATTAAAGAAGTGGTCATTGGAGATAGAAAACAATAGTCTTAGTATTTTCTTAGACTTCAGTTAATTAATAATTACAGATAGTTTCAAACATTAATATTATTAGATAGAAAAGTAAACTTCCTTTAGGAACAGTAAAATAAACACATAATCCATAATATTTCTGTTGTTAAATATGCTTTATTTTTAAATTTGTACTTTTTATATTTAAGAAACTTATATCTTTTGTATCATGATATTGTAAAATATTGTTAAATATTATTTGATATTGTGTTAACACTTTTACTCCACCTTACCACCAGTCAAAAATTTATAAATACCACACCTATCATGTGCCTGATAGGTGTAAAAGTAATGTACATGTTTATACACTTATTAGGTACCTGATAGGTATATCAGATATTTGATAGGTATAAAAAATATTTACCATATTTATCAGGTACCTGATATATCTATCGGGTACCTGATAAGTGTATGAACATGTACATTGCTCTTACTCCTATCAGATACCTGATAGGTGTGATATTTATAAATTTTTGACCAGTGTACTCACTGAGCCTTCAGATTAAAAATAAAGAATTAAAAGAATTGTATTAATTTATTATCTGTTTCAAGATGTGCAAGTTTAGATTGACGGATTTCTTGACCTACTGGTAGATAGAGCATATTAAAAAATTAGTTTGTGTAAGACAGACTCTGAGACTGATAGGTGAAAGTATTCAAAATACTCTGCACATTTGTGACAATATTAATCTTATTTAAGATATCATCAAAATTCACAAAATTATCAAACTTTTTTAATGCCACTTCTACTTCTTTTTTTCTTTTCCATTGTTGATTTTCAATATCCCATTTATAAATTGGTCTATCAATCCACTAAGCATAATGTTTCGTTTTAAATCCATCTTTACCTATTTCTTTAACATTTTAAATCTATCACAAGGTATCTATTTTATTATTTCATTAATGTCATTTATATTTGATTGAGCATCTTGAGTAACATGGTTTACACAACCATCTTTGATATTCTTGATTGCATTTTGAGCATATGTCAGATGACATTTTTTTTTTGTTTGTTGATATGAAAGGTAGAAATTTATTTTTTATTTAAAAAAAAAAGAGAAAAAAAAAGAAACGTTAAAATTACAAAAATCTCATTTATTACAATATTTTAATACTTTTATCTCATTACGAGCAAAAATACACAAGTTATTGGACACAAAGTTCATTAGAGTCCGATCGGTAGTCAATTGTGTAACTCTATATATTATGATCGACGGACACATTCATGTAATACACTTTTCTATTTATCATCGTGTATCACACCGTTCGTTTTATAAATATCATAAGCAAAAACCATATTTGTCATCAATATTTGTCACCTAGTATCTGTCACATGAATTTGACATGTGATGCATTTCTGATCACCTATTAAATTATGGACCAATAAAATTCTAAGATTCACGGGAGTGAAAAATCTGTTGGTGAATAGTTAGGAAATTGTACAAATTGTACACGATATTCTAAGATTGGAATAATTGAAACATCAGTACTTTAGGAAATTAAACACATGATCATTGTGGTTAAATTTCTCATTTCACAGTTCCAAATCTCATTGTTGGAATTCTTATTTTTACAATTGTTATGAGAATATTCATTTGTATATGATTAAATTTAGAAATTATTTTCTACAATGACAAGAATGTACTACGTATCACCCGCTTCTTCAGTAACAATGATCGTGATTTTTTTCGTAGCGATGCGATGTAAGCGGCGGATTATAGCTAGCACATCATTATCATAATAACTTTAATAATAATGGCAAACTTTAATGACTATTATAATGGGTATTTAATTATTTGCTTAATTCTTTTTTCTTTTTTTCTCCTCATGAATTTTCGTTTTTTTTTTTTTTTTTTTTTTTTTTTTTTTTTAATTTAAATATATAAAAAATTAACTTTAAATACGTAAATTAAATATAAACAATTTAGGGTAAAAAACCAAGGACAAATTTAACTACTTTTACAATAAAATACGTACCTTAGGTTATACACATTGTAGTAATTTTCTATATCAAATTTTGAATATTTTTTTATTTTTATTTTTACTTACGCATTAATTTGTTAATTTTTAAGAAAGTATTATTTTGATCATAAGCTCACACAAAGTAATATTTAACACAAACAATGTGGATGACACAACTATTTATTTTGATCAAATCATTTAGCCAGCTAGAAATTATATAATGAATAGCAATCATTTATTAACGTCGCCTTTTTTTCGACTCAATAATTTACAAAAAAAAAATTAAATAAAAATGTTCATAAATTTTTTTGACAAATTGTCTCAAAACCTTATTGAACTTCTTAATGATAATGATAATTATGATGTAATCATCGAGGTCAAAAATAAGGAAAAATCTTTCACGGCGCATTCAAACATATTAAGATACCGATCATCATATTTTCGTAAAGAATTAGAAAACGTTCAGTCAAATGAAAATAATATTAAGACGATTGTTAAGTCACACATTTCTGCTAAAATCTTCGATGTCATTCTTAAGTAAGTTATAATCAATAATAAAAATACTTGTATTAAAATTTATTTTATATACAGTACAGTATTTACTTTTTTATAAATTCGTTTATTTATTAATTATTGTTTATTTTTATGTATTTAGGTATATATACGGAGGAATTGTTAATTTAGAAAGTATTGAATCTAAACTTATTTTTAAATTAATGTTAATCGCTGATGATTTCGAACTTGAAGAATTAGCAAGCAAAATAGAAACTTTTCTAATTGAAACAAAAGCTTCTTGGTTGAAAACACATTTTTCTATGGTCTTCCATACTGTTTTCGACAGAAAAAATTTTAGCAATTTGCAAAATTTTTGTAATGATATTGTTTCAAAGCATCCAGGTCTTATTTTTGAAAATTCAGGTTTTAATTCTCTTAAAGAATCCGCCCTGGTGTCCCTTCTCAAGAGAAATGATTTACAAATGAAAGAAGTTCAAATTTGGGATTATATTATCAAGTGGGGAATTGCTCAGAATCCAACTCTTCCTACAAACATTGGAGAATGGTCCAAAGAAAATATTATTACATTAAAAACTACATTACAACAATGTCTACCATATATTCGTTACTTTCACCTTTCAGCTGATGAAGTCAATAATTCAATTAGGCCTTATAAAAATATTCTCGATAAACAACTTTGGGAAGATATCAATCATCGTTTATTAATTCCTAGACAACCATTGATACCGGCAAAATCTATCATTTCTGAAGACCATGCAGCAGAAATATCATCTTGGCTTGATTGTAAACCAACTACTTATTCAATAATGAACATCCCATATAAATTTGAATTAATTTTACGCGGATCTAAAGATGGGTTTGCTCCTAAAACATTTTGGAATATTTGTCACGGTCATGTTTCTACAGTTTTAGTGATCAAAGTCAAAGGAACTAATGAAATACTTGGAGCTTATAATCCTTTAGCATGGGATAATTCTTGTATTAAAAGTAAATGGACACAAACAAGTGATAGTTTCATTTTTTCATTAAAAAATGGGAATATTCCAATTTCAATTTTCAGCAAAGTGAAAAATCCCGAAACGGCAATTCTTAATATGCGCAAAGATCAACAAAATGAGTATGGTCCATATTTTGGAGATCTTTGTATTCGAAGTTTTGAATCTAATAATTTTACTATAGATAATGATTGTTACTGTGCAGATTATGGTTATTATGAAAGATCTATAAGAAATTCGTCATCAGTTTACTTTTCTATTGAAGATTATGAAGTATTTAAAATCGTTAAAAGATCCTAATAATGAAATTTTTGTATTTATTATATTATATTAATTTAACATATGCTTTATATTTATTTCCTATAAATATATTTATCAATATCTTTTGTAAATAAATAAAAACATTATTACAATATATTTTCTAATTCTTAACACTGAATCTGCACCAAGAATCTGAAGTTATTTCATTTCGATATCTAAAAAAAATAAATATATTGTGAATGCTAATACTGTACATAAATTCATTTTACTCAATCAATAGTTATGCAATCACATGCTTTGAGATTGTTATTAAAATGTAGATCCCATGGAAGAAAAAACAGACCCCAAAGAATATTTTTAGAACAGAATTAGGTAAGCTGGTCCAAGCCAATGGCTAGTGTGATTGGAATATTATATTCACCTATCCGTCAAATTCATTCAATTCATTGTCGGTAGACACAAGAGATAATATTACAAATATCTACTCATGAATTCATCCCATCCATTTTCGGTGAAACATATAACAACGTGAAATATAATAACAGTTAGTTATTTATCTTTTCAAACGAGAGGAAAAGGGGGGTGCAAGTTGGCCCTACCATCTTCCGTGTTTTTTTTATCACCCAAATGACAATAACAAACAATGCTTAATAAAATCTGAAATGTACGAGAAACCTTCAAGAGAAATGGAAGCATTATGTAGTGATACGGACTGTATTTATTCCAAGCTAAAAGCAATCGAATTTGAGAAGACAAGATACAAGTGTGGATTTCCTCCGATTCAAGCTCCAATTCAACGATGCACGATTCTACCAGCACGTGTCAAAAAAGAAACATCCTTGTCCTAAAAAGAAGCATGATAATGGCTATGTGAAAGGTCCAGGATACTGACAGATACGTTTTCATGCTATATTCATCTCTACCTCTACATTTCTATCCATTATCATGACCGGCATATAAATTCGTTTGAATTTATAATAATTAACACGATTTCAAAAATCGATATCCAACACTCTTTCTATTATGGGCCAACGAAAGAAAAACCGTACGATTCGGAAGGCAAGTATACGCTTTCTGAAACAAAGACGTAGCTTCACACATTTATTCATAGGCAATACCAAATTTTTTAAGTCGCACTTCCTGCGGGTATCGGAACAAAAAGTTTTCTCGTCATTGTCAGAATATGTTGACTCCATAGCTAGATCAAGAAACAACCGACTGTAAAACTTAATACATGAAAAAAGAGTTTCGTCTCGGCTGTGAAATATTGGACATCGTTGAAGGAAGTATTCTATCTTCTTTCTCCGACCTTAGGGAGCTCGTACCTCGTTTAATCCCAGACTGTGAGTATCGTTCTTCACTCAGTGATGGTGCTGGAAGCTTTGCGTCTCATTTTGTGAGTATGAGCTTCGCCCTCATTCCTCACTTGTCTTCTGCCTTGATAAACCAATTACTAGGAAAGCATAGTATAACGGATTTCAAACTGTGAATGACAATTTCAAAACTATAAATATATAGGTGATGACGACAAACCGATGATCTTATGTCATAAGGTAAGTGGCTCGTTGTGATCTAAATATGCAGGACCATATTTCAGAAAGCCGTGAAAAAACTTATTTTGAGCAGTTCCACATTGAATTACGTACTCCAAACCTTAGATTCCTCAAGTTGCAAATCATCCCTTTGAATGATGGATACCAAAGCTGCTACTGAAAGAGAGTAAAAATCATTTGATTCGAAATCCAAGTTGGGATAATTTGCGATAATATCATTACATGATTTTGAATTGCCATTTGAAAACTTGAACATCCGAAAATTTTTTTAGGCGTAATATTATTACGGTTTATAAAATTTCTGATGAATGAAAAATTTTTGAAGAATTTTAATTTTAACCAAGTATGATTTTTCAATAAGAGAGTCCGAAGTCCTTGCGACCAGTTGAAATTTCATAGATATATCTATTAAATACTTTAATAAATTATTAAAATATTATTTTTAAAGTTAATATAATTTATTAAATTTTTCACATACTTTATAATAATATTAAAAGCTTTAGCCGATATAAGTGGTTTTTGAATAATTCTAATATTATCATCGTTGGATTTTTATAGAGTAACACAAAACCGTTGACATAATCATTTGATATTTTCATAAAAATTTAGTAGTAAAAAGAGAAACAAGAAAGAGAAAAATGAGAAAAATTTGCGCTAATTTTATTCAATCGGTGTATAAATAATCTAAATTAAAATTCCATTGTTTTTCGTCGACTCGATATTAAAAAAAATGCCTTTAAAATTTTTGAAAGTTTTCTCTAAAATTACAATGCAATATCATTTAAGTTAATAATTCATCCAGAAAATTTATTAGGCATATATTTTCTAAAATTTTCGAAAATAAATGCGTGAATTTATTTTTTTTTATTTAACTTCGCTCGTGATTTACGCGACAAAGAGCAAATTTCTACCAAGGTATTTCTATTATAAATATAAGTGCATTGTTCAGAATTACAATATGATATGTATTTCAACTCTGTATCATCGATAATAGCTTAAATATTCCGGTTTAAAGAAAATCGTCCGTAAATTCCGGAGTAATTATATATTTTGAAATTTTATACAGACATTTTTCTTAAAGCAAACTTCTTTGGCTAATATCGATGCAACTGAGATGAAACATATCAACTTGTAGCTCTGAACGAGGCGCCTCTATCTGTCATAGAAAAACTTTTAGTAGAAATTCGTTCTCTGTACGAGTGAAATTAAAAAAAAAAACGGAAATATACACCTTATAAATTTTCCGGATGTTAAAACGAGATTTTTTTCTGATTTAATGAAGTTTTATCTTACTTAAATGGAAATGGATTACTATGCTAATGAATTTGAACTTGAGGAATTGACTTATAATCTCTTATTGAAACCAATGCTTCTTGGTTAAGAGTGCATTTTTCCCTTATCTATTTTACTATTTTTAATAAAACAACTTTTGAAATTCATGTAATAATATTATGCTGTTGTCTACTGCCTAGATATTATTTTTTATTAGTTAGATTTTACCTCTTCTTCCAGAATCTACACTGGTTCTTCTCAATCCCAGATTTTATTTTCTTTTATTTGTAAATTAACTTGATTATTATTAATTGGGAGTTGCTTAAAAATTTCTTATGTTGAAAATCTCCTTTACAACAATTTTTACCACTTATTTTTTGTCTTCATATTGAAAATATTGAAAATATTGATAAAATTATGCCGTATAAAAAGATTCTTGATAAACAACTTTGGAAAGATTTAATGGCATATGCAAGTTCAATAAAGCCAATTGCTATATCACTTTAGTTGCAGAATTATCTCCTCGTACAGAAGAACCTTTTTCAACTATCTAGTTATATTGATTGTAAAACAACTACTTATTCAACAACAATAAATTTTAATTAATTTTACAGGGAACTAGGCTCTACAAACGGTTTGTGATATTTACCATGATCGTGCTAATATAGTTGTGGTAATCAAGAATTTTACATTTATAAATTAAATTTTTAAGCGTCATTTAACATTTTTATCACACTTTTCTCGATATAACTGATATAACTGATATAACTGATATAACTACAGTAGAACCTGTATATAAGCATACTGTCAGGCCAGCAAAATCCAATGCATATGACAACAGACAAATAAAAAAACAGAAAAATAGATGAACTGAAGAATGAATAAATTTATAATTAATAAAAAGATAAATGACAATGGATAAAATAATAATAAAATGATAATAAATTTTACATATTCTGATACGCGTGATTATGCTTATATACGATTATATAATCTAGAATTTTTTTATGCATATGCACGTTATGCGCATGCTTATGCTTATATGACCCAACTCGGGCCATAAAAATTTATGCACTTAGGCAGGTTATGCTTATATGCAGTATGCTTTTATACAGGTTCTTTGTATATTGTTTCATAGTTTCATAGTTTCATAGTGAACCAAATCTGAAATTTATAAAATTTGCAATATTATTTTAACTTGGCACTTCTCGATTCAGATGTAAATGGAAAACTTTATGAATAAAAACTTGACAATCATAAATGTGAAAAAATTTCCTCCTATTTTATAACATTTGCATGCTCATGCAATTGAGTTATTTTTTTTAAAAAAAAATTTATTATTTAATTAATATAACTTAGAAGTCTTATTTTAGCTTTAATTTTACTTAATATAGATATTCCTTAAAACTTAAAGTAATATCATAAAATACATTAATAAATTAAAATATTTCTTCTCTTTATAATATGAAAAACTTCATAATCATCTATTGAAAATCCACCTTTTGTTTTTCTAATCAGTTTTTCATAGCCATTAATATGATTAATATAAAATTGATGTCTATTCATAAAGAAATCATGGCCACCAAAATTTGGACCATAATTATAAGAGTTAAAATAGCATTAATTGCATTTTTTACATGACTAAGAATATAATCTTTGATATTTCCATTTTTTTAAAGAAAATATAAAACAAACATTAGCTCGAGAATATCCTCCTAAATTATATTTTCAATTTTTGTTGAAAACTTCTAAAAAATTTACAGTAGATGCACTTAATTCTTGACTATAATATTTTTTAATATAACTTTTGTTATTATAATATTAATAAAAAAAGTTTTATATGTAATTACGATTGATAATTATTTTCGAATTTTTAGTTTAGTAAAATCCGTGTCGATCATTTTTAAAAAATTAAAAAAAAAAATCCGAAAATAATTACCAATTGTAACCACATATAATTCTTCTTTATGTATTAATATAATAGTAATAATAATACTAAGTAAAGTCAAAGTGTAATATATGGAGCATCTACTGTAAAAGTTTTAGACTTTTAAATTCAGAATTAAGTTTAATATTAACAGTTGAATTTCGGACGTTTAAATTATTCTCTGAAATTTAATCATGTATTTATTCATTAATTATTAATAGATATGACTGAAATTTTTACAAAAGGTGCTCAATATCTCAGATTTAATCATACTTAGTACTACTTTTATTGTTAAATTAATAAATAATAAAGTTTATATGTATAAACGATTGATGATTATTTTCGGATTTTTTTTTTATTTCAATCTTTATTTTTATTAAATTTCGGCGGCTTTTATTCATGTCTAAGTAAAGTCAAGATTTTCATTAGATACTGCGAAAAATACAACTAATAAAATTGTAGATAACATTTTTTGGCTACAATTCTATATAAGATAGTTGGTATCTATATTTAATATTCAATTTATTATTTTTTGTCAGTTTTATTTCAAGTGTAATTACTCCAAATGTAGGTATTTTGTTTTGACATAAAACATATAATTTGATAGCTCTAGCTTAGGGGAATCTAATAAAAAAAGTTTGTTCAATTTTAAATCACTCATTGTGCCACAATTAGCATTTTAATTTTAGTAATTTTTTTTAAAATTTTCAGGTGGTCGGATACTTTTGGCAGGGGAGTGTACAATTTTTACATTTTATAATTTTTTTATATTTTAATCAATTTTTTAATACTTTCCTGTTTTATGTTTTGGACGATATGGGTAATATATACATTTAAAATAGAAAAATAATCAAAAGAAAATAAACATCTAATCGGCATTTAATGGGCATTTAATGCATTTATTTAAGTTCTTTGTATTTTTTTTGGCATTTTTTAATGCCGTCTGTGTATTTTTATTTATTTTTTATTTTATTTTAGGGCAATAACTAATGATAACTCGTTCTCTTTCTTTAATAACATCTTTCTTTAATAATAAATAATAATAGTAGATACCGATATTGACTACTGAGATCATACTAAATTTCCATAGATAAAAACATTCACTTAGAAAAAAATTAAAATAAATAAAAGCATTTACAGTTTGCAAAAGCCTCTTTAATTGAATATGGTTAAAATTCTTTTTTTTTAAAAAAAAAAAGAACCATAATTGTAGCAGTGTTACATATTAATCTTATGATCACGTTCACGGAAAATTTGAATAATTAACAAAATTTCTTTAATTCATTGTATTTATGTTATAATGGTCAATTTATGTTGAATTTCTCTAATAACTATTACATTATGAAGTACAAAGTTATATAAAGTTTACAAGTCTAGCGTATCTTTTACAAAAATTATTATTTATTATCTGATATATAATGCAAATTTGCATTAAAACGTATGCTTAATTTAAATATTTTTTCTCTTGTTAATTTGAAAGACTTCATAATCATCTATTGGAAATTTACAGTTGTTTTTTAAATTAGTTTTTGGTAATTAATCGATTCCTAATTATAAAAAATGTGTACCACAATCAAGGTTATTATAGATACCCTTAATTGAAACTTCTATACGACTGAGAATATATTTTTTAAAGAAAAATAAAACTATCATTGGTTCCAGAATATTTATGTTTTAATTAAAAATCATACCAATAGGATAGTAACCATTCCATCAGTAATGCAATGACAACGTTTTAGTTTTCTGATCAAAACACATTTCTATCCTTGAAACATTATTAATTTTATATGCTATTTTGTTCTTATCAATCCAAAAGGCAATTTCAACTACGTTTTCTTTGAAATAATTGTGATATAATTTGAAAAATGGCTCGAGGTGAGAAATCATTGAGGCAATAGATTTACCTGAATTAAAATATCAGTCACAGATTTTTTTTTAAGATCTGTTGATACGGATATATTTTTTCCTTAATATGTGTTCATTGGGAAATTGAAATGTATTATTTAAGAATTCTTGATTCAATCAACAATCATTAAAGGTAAATTTTTATTTTGTGCAGTTCCCGTCGAATCACGCAACCCAAACTAAAGTTATAAATCATCCCTTTGAATGATAGATACCAATTACACTTCTGGAATAGTATTGATTCAAAAAATCAAGTTAGGATGCTTTGCGATTATAGCACTACACTAATATTGAAATGAATTCGAAAACTTGAGTTATAAATTTTTGAAAATTTTAATTTTATCCAAGAAGGATTTTCGATAACGATCCGATGTTTTCATTGCTACTAGTAGAGAAATGTCATATTTTCCATATCAATTTACAAAAATCAAAGATAATAGATGGTTCAGCTTTTCATGATTGAACATATCTCCTTACTAAAGACTTTTGCAGGTTTATTTCTTATTAAGTTCTACTTTTCTTCTTAAAGCATAAAGTCTTAAATAATTATATTTAAATATTAATTATTCACAATATTAATGCAACAAAATTTTTAAATTCTATTTATTAAATCATGAGTAACTCTAATCAAATAATCAATTATAATTTTTAATTTTTCTTGTTTAATGAATCAGGAAATCTAAAAATCGGAGCTAATAAAATGTCCCTGATCTTGAACTTTTTTTTATTCTTTAAATGATGTTGAATTATGAGAGCAATAGTTAATGAAGCAACAAAACAATTCGCAGTTGTCCTTTAAGTATAAATTAATTACTTAACAATTATGTTATGTAAATACCCCATAATTATCAAAGTAAGATAAAAAATTATTTAATAATGTTAAATAGCCTAATTAAATTATAATCTTACATAATAATTTATAAAATCCATATTTTCATATATTGTATTCAATTAATTTATCTGAATTTTCATAAAATTAGATCTGCTATTACTATGTAATGTATAATAACTCATTCCTATTTGATATCTATAATATCTAATGTCAATAATTAAGGATGAATAATATTATTTTCAGATGAAAGCAAATAAAAATGTCATAAATGTACATATTTAATAATAATAAATTGGAAAAATAAAGATAGATAGACTTTTAAATTATTATGCGATTATCGTGATATGGAAAAGATCTCTATAATCACGTTATTATCAGCTATTGCTTAATTGCTTATTGGTTGTAATAATAACGATCTACAAAAACAATTCAAATTTTTTTTTTTGCCTACTCCTACTTTCTTCTCATCACTTTGTCATACTGTTTACCTTCTGCATTTTTGCTTAGTTATACCTTATTCTCAAAGTTTTTCACTATTATCATCCTTAAAAATGAAGTTAATTGAAAAAAAAAAAGATTTTATCAGTAAGTAAAGTTGCTTCAAAAAACCAAAGTATTAGATCTTAATTTTCAAATGAAATTTTTTTCACAATTTTATTATGTTTTACTTTTCTTTGATGCTCTTTTCAACATTTTTGTACAATTGTCTTTAATATTATATATATTATCTTGTATAATTTCATTTCTTAACAGATAATCAGATTTTGGAAAAGATCTTCTTCTTCAGGATTCATCCCAAAAATTCTCAAGCTCATCAACCAGTTAGAGAATTAAAAAATATTGATGAAACATATAAAGATGCTGCATCTGAACCATCTACCAAACTAGCATTGAGTGCTGATACAACATTACCAAATTTCAGTAATATTAATATTAATGCGTCATCAAATATCAATGATAGAGAAGAGAAAAGCATCGTAAATAATATCACTTCAACAGAAGAATCACTCATCAAACCAACATCAATAACGGCACAACATCCAAAACTGTATTGTTAAATTTAGGTGATTTAGAAGTTGATAATAATATTAGTGCATCATCAAATGTCATTGATCTGGAAGAGAAAAGTAGTATAAATATTATTAATTCGACAAAAGGAGAATCACCTGACAAACTAACAACAATTAAAGATGCCAAACCTTTTGGTGATTCGGAAGTTGACAGTAAAATTAATGAATTATCAGATATTATAAATAATTTTAATTCAACACAAAAAGAAACATCTTGTAAAGAGGAGAGACAAGATGGTAAATATATTGATCGGTGTTTATAATGAATATATAATCATAATAAATGATAATATTAATTCTTTTTACTTCAAAAAAAAAAAAAATTCAAAATAGAAATTAATGAGATATTTGATGAAATTCTTAATTGTGTTGAAAAGGTGAAAAAATATCGAGAACAGCAACAACGAAAAAAAAGCAACAAAGTTAATGAAAGTAATTTCTATTGTAGCAGGGGATGGATTTCAACAAAAAAGTATCATTAACAATGTTAATGAAATCAATATCAATTATAATGATAGTAATTAAATATCAATTAATGCTCATCACTTAATGTAAAAAGTTCCGACCTCCTCCTTTACAACACAATCCTTCAAAAAATTATCTTATTCCCATTATATTTCAATAGTTTCAAATGATTCTATAACGTTCTCAACCATCCGAAATAATAATTCATTAGCATTGATTCCTTCTCCACAATTAAATGAAAATCTTAATTCATTAAAATTATTATTGCTATCACGTTCAGAACGTAAATTACGTAAATTCGATAATATTTGTGCAATAATTTAAAAATTTATAAAAAATGTATCTGTGATATAGGAATTTAGATAAATCTTTTTTACTGTAATTCATGATACCGATCATGTGAATGTCTAAAATGAAAACTTAACTGTCCAAACGGCGTAAAAACTTACTAATTTTATACGAGGACTCTTTGACTAATGATAGCCCATAATAATAAATCTCAAATTGAATAACTAGGAGATGGTAAACCATTGTAAGTCCGGAGCAATTTTGTTGTAAATTGTATAATTATTCGTCATTTGTTCTTTATCTAACAATCGTTACGTATCTATAAATTGAGTAAACATCCTTTTCCAAAGTTTCGTTTTTGATATTTTGTTTATTTTTATAGTAAGCCATGCATCAAGATCAGGACTTAGATGCATAAAAAACGGAACTTTGGCATCACATTATAATGTTCTTCGGACAGTTATTAGTATTCAAAAATATTTATGAAATCGATCAAGTTTTACTAATAATTGCACATAAGAATATGAGTTTAATTTCAAGTCCACATTTAAAATATTATCACAAATTAGTTTTAATGATACATATAATGGACAAATTAATTTATGATTTTTTATCATCGAAGCACAAAGTAACTTGAAAATTGAACCAATTAAATTATTATAATTACAGAAATTTTTAAGAAACTTCTGCCAATTTAAAATAATCAAGAAATGAGCAACGATTTATTATTAATTTACATATCTCACGAAATAATATTCTTGTAAATATATGGACATGAGGATAATCAAAAATGATGAAGATAAATCATATCCATTTTGAGTAAGTAAATTTACAGCCTGAGTATTCATACACGATATATAAGTTCGGACACATAACGCTTTCTTTTTCAACTTCTTAAAATCTGTACAACATTCTTGACCCAAAGTTTATTCCTAAATATAGGAATAATAACTTTACACCTGATTCGATTAAAAAATAATCATGAAAATAAACCTTGATTTGAAAAAAATGATTTAAGGTTATGATTAATATTTCTGTCGGAATTTTAGTTGCCATTTTTAATTGTTTAAAAGAGAGAAAGGAAGAGAATTTGAAAATGTGATCGTGTCACATCACATTTATATAATATATGTAATACTATGGTTCACAAATCTCTACGCAACATGCAGATTATTATAATAGGTAAATATTTATTTCATTAAATTAAATATATTATTTAAAATGTTCACTTAAATGATGACATAAGTCTTTTTATCATAAGTTTATTATTTCCCTCCTTTACAATACAACCCTTCTTAGACTATCGGTACTAAAATTTCATAATCCATTTTAACCATAATAGTTACAAGTAATTTTGGTACATCTGACATGATGATTCATTCATAAAATATACATTATTTAGTTTTGCTATATTGATAAAAAGCATCTAATGATGAAACTCATAATTAATTAATTTATTTATTTTATTCTTTAAAAAATTTAAAGTTAAATCAATGGTCAAAGAAGTCAAATCCTTGAAAGGAAGGTGTGGAAGATATAGAGATTTTTGTGGTGATCGAGGATTTCAGGAAAAGTAAGAGGTGATCAAGTGAAGAGGAAAAGATTAATATTATGGTATTTATCATTTATTAAATTTTTTTGATTAAAATTTTATTTATTATTTATTAACGATTTAATTAATTATTTTATTTAATATTATAAATTATTTGTTTGTTATATACAATTTGAATGACATAGAGGGAAATAAGAGAATATCAAACGAAAATGATGAGATGTAATAAAAATAATTATATTATAAAATTTTTATTAATTATTTTATTAAATGTTACAAATTATTAATCATAATTCGATGATACAGAATTTTTGTGGTGAGGATTTTGGGGGGATTTAAACGAAGAGGAAGAGGCGGATAATAAGAAATATTACGATTAATTAATTATTTATTATTTTATCTTATACTAAATATTATTTTATTTTATTTAAATGATATTATAGTATGGTAATACATATGATATATATTTAATTAAATCACTGGATAATAATTGTATTCTTTTGTTGTTTATTTTTTAATTCTTTTACCATTAATTTTTTCATTCTTTTGTTATTTCTTCTTTTATTCTTTTGTTATTTATTTTTTTATACTTTTGTTATTTATTGTCAAAAAGTATTTTTTTCTGATATTTAAAAATTACTAAGAAGTTGATAACAGAATTAATTACAAATATATATATATATATACAATATAAATAAATTTAATAAAAAATAATTTAGAGGTATTAACTACACAAAAGAAGATTCTTTTAATAAGTTTATAGACACTTAATTAATATTTATCATTTACAATCTCCCTTGTATTTATTATTTCTTCCACTTCACTTATATCCTAAGGTCTTTTCTCTCTATTATTTAATTGATTGGTGATAATTCTTTGTACATTATTGTTCCTATTTATCATTTAAAAATGATAGATTTTGTTAAAGAGGAAATTGTCTTAATTTAATTTATATTTAATTGGGATATTATTCAAAAAAATGCAGTCAATATAAATATATTTTAATATATTTAAATTGCTTATAAAGAAAATTTAATAGATCACTTGTTTATTATAAAAATTCATTTAATTGTTTTTCTCACTTTTTTTAGAAAGAGAATAATAAAGTATTATTAATTATTTATCAAACATTAACTTTAAACCTTATCGGAACATGGGATCCGAGTATAATCAATGCCAAGAAATAAAAATGTTTACTAAAATTTCTGAAATTGTGCATTTGGTCAATTCCAAAAAATATGTTGGCTGGATTCTAAATTTAGTTATTAATTTTAATTTAGTTCGTGGCTTGTCTTGTAGAATCCGAAATCGATCATTTGGGAAAATCTCTTTTGATTCCATGTGACACAATAAATTGAATTTGGGATTTGATAATCGCTCAAAAGCATATGATATTTTGATCAATATTTAAATTGTTCAAACCTTATTTCATGGTACTGTCACGGTCTACGCAGAACAATGTGAAAAGTTACGCAAATCAGTTTCGATAAGTTTAGGATAATCACACGATAATTCAATATATCACTAACATATTTTCTCTTGTGAACAATATCTTAAAACAAAGCAAGACAGGCAATCAGTTGATCTAAACCTGCTTACTAACACTCACAAACAATGCAATTATGTGTAATATCTGAAGGTACGATGAGCAAGTGGAGTAAAAGTATCTTTATTACTACTTGCACACTAAATAGACTTTTTATGCAACTTTGCCAAGAAATATGAAATAGTTTATTAAAATTTATTAAAATTTTGTGTAGGAGTATAATAATAGCCATATATAACTGCTTTGGCGTATCTTATCACTTTGCTTCCTCATGCACTAAATTAATTATTAAAATTATTACAGAAATAAAACAATAAAGATATATTACTGCATTGGTGTATCTTATCCCTATTGCTATACGAAATTATTTTATTATTATTAATTTAAAAGTATTACGAATAAAAAGCAAATAAAACTAAATTAAAATGTTCAAAATATTTAAGTAAAAATAAAACTAAAATTAAAATTGTTCGAAATATCAAGTAAAATATTTTTATTTTGGTTCTTGTTCTTTTTTGGCGAAAAGGAATCTCCTTTTTTTTTTTTCTTCCTCACTGCAGCTATTTTTATAATATTTCTTCTTGTTTACCTTCATTCTCTGTCATCCAAAAAAAAACGTTTTCGTGCCAGGATGAATAAACAGTTATCCTGGATGATGGAGGATAATTTATCCAAATAGTGACACATATCATCTTCTATCATCCCCCGTGACTCCGGCTATTTTCGTGCCGCCTCAGTACACTAAAAAAAGAAAATAAATTTCTGGTATGGTATTACAATCGTATTATCCAAGAGAATAAACATAATGATTTGTTTTACCGTTTTACATAATGATTTGAAATTGAATTTTCCAAAAAAAAAGTACAATGCTTAATTTAGAAATTTTATAAATCTTCTGACATTTGGATATACACGAAAAAAGAAATTGGCTAAGAATTGTGAAATTTTATTACTATAAGTTGTTGTTAAAATTTTAGAATATTTATCCATTAATAATGTGTTTCCCAAATAAAATAATAAATATGTAATGCCAATAAACTTTTTAAGGAAATATGAACCACATTTATATTAATAAAATTAATGATATTAATTAAATCGATTTATTATAGTAAATCCAACAAAAAAAGATAAGAATCACGACTTGAAACTAAAATAAACTTTATAATCACAAAAATAATATAAATACAACAAAAAAAATTCGAATGTTCGTTTCGTTAAAGTTACCCCTTTTCGTTGACAAAATTCAAACACATCACGATAGAATATTCATAAACAACGAATTTCGTTTTTAAATGTTTATAGAATCGTTTGTTATTTTCAAGAATATATCTAATATCGTATCGAAAACTAAATAATTTTCGAAAAATTATTTTAAAATAAAATTATTTAAAATTTATTTAAAAAATCATGTCAGCCCAACAATCTCCCGAAGATAATCAATTAGAATTAATCGAAAATAAATTGCCGATTAGTGGATTTAATACTATTGAAAAATTGCTTTTAAATTTAGTTATGGATTTCTCCACAACGGAGAAACAAACTAATTTATTGAGAAAACTATATAATTTTATAAATAATAATAATAATAAAAATTCGGGACCTACAGTAAAATGGTTTGATGATTTGACAAACTTGTTAAACTTACTTGAATATACTCGCGACTCAAATAATTCCATCATCCAAAACAGGGAAACCATAAATTCAGAAATTTGGCTTAAAATTAGTAAATTCGTGGAAAATTATGATGTAAAAGAACTTAATTTCAATACTCTTTCGTTAGATCCCTCCTTTTTATTTAAATTTGCATCTAAGACTCCACTTTACATTGATAATGAGTTAAAAACAAAAGCTTTTTCGTCTTCCCCACTGATACTTGAAAATTCTGTAAAATATTTACAATCATCATCAAAGCAAAAATTATTCAATAAATATACAGAAGAGACGGAAGAGACTCCTATTGTGTCTGTTTTATCTACAAGTAAAAGTTCAGAAACAAAAAGAAAATCCGAAAAACCATTGAGCAAAAGTAACAAACGAACTAAGAAATATGCAAAACGATCTGAAATTGAGGGAACTTCTATAATGACTTACCCAGTAAAAGATAATTCCCACACTACCCTGATTTGGAAATGCAAAAAAACTAATGATGATTCTCAAATCCAAACTCAACAACAACAATATATGCCAACAAATGATTATCCATGGACGAATAATACTTCAAGTTTTTCTATTTCTCCTCAGCATAATGTTAATTATCGCCAACAAGAAATATTTACAATCCAAGAAATACCAACAATCCCAAATTTTCAACAAGTAACAATCCCAAATATTCAAGAAATACCAACAATCCCAAATTTTCAAGATCACAATTTTTTTTATAATGCTTCTTTCCCAGGAACAAATTTGAGTAACACAACCACTGAAGTTGATAATTTGGAAGAAAATTTAACAATAAATTCTCGAATAGAAAATCCTAATATTGGAAATATTGAAATAAGACATTTATTGAATTCGGATCAACTTTTCATAAGTGAAGAACATGCAAGCAAACCCAAAGAATCATTCAATACTGATATAAAAAGTAACTTCTTTTATTTAAAAAATTTAATATTTTCAGAATATACTAATTCTATTTAATTGTGAGAAATGTTTTTAATCACTAACATTTAATTTTTAATATTTTTTTAGGCTTTTCAAACGAAAATGAACTCGAATCTGTTTCTAAGCACAATTATGGTAATGACACACAGTATAATTTACATGAAATAACTGAAATGCCCTCAACTATTAAAGTGAATTTGTCATCTGAGAAATTGGTTAATGACAACATCTGTCAACCAATTGAATCCTTCTTTTTAACAAACGAGGACCAGAAAAATTTTTTAAAGAATCAAGCTGATATTAACATTAATGATTCATTCAATTGCATTAAATTCAACAAACCCCAAATCAAAATTAATAATGAGGCAAATATTTGGAGCGAATCATTTGGTTCAAATATCTCAAATTTTATTTCCATAGAATCAAATGTATACTTTGGAACTTCATCTGCTTCACACGCTAAAGTTGAAAAACTAATTAAATTACTTATAAACAAAAAAAATGAAATTGACAAAATCTTAGAATCACAACCTGCATTTATTATAGCACCTGACTTTCAAAAAAGTTCCTCTATGCCAAATATTTCCTATAGGACTTCTGAACGTCTTGATAAATCAATTCTAAAAAAGCTTGAAGAATTATTTGATGATGAATATGAAATTGTGGTAATACCTATAGATGAAGAAATAGTTGCTAAATCATCAAGTGGATCAATTGACACTTCTAGTAACTGTCTAACTAACAATAACGACGACAATAGTAATGGTGACAACAATAATAGTAATAACAATAATAATACTAACAATAATAATAACAACAGTGATAACAACGCTAATGGTAATTATACTAATGATAATAACAATAATAACAATTATAATAGTAAGAATTTTAATAATAATAACGACAATAACATAGATTATAATTATAACAACAACGATAATAATAATAGTAATAATAATAACAATAATGGCAGTAGTAATAATAATAACAATGACGATATTAATAATAATTATAAAATTTTAATTTCATCCGAAGTAATCGCAAAAGCTGCTGATGAGAATTTTTCAGATGCTTTTCAAGATTTTAATATTTCTGCTTATCTCCAGGCAAAGGTTTATCCTCTTCATGATAAAAGAAATAATTTAGAATTCTCTATAGATGTAAATAATTGTGGAATGGGACCAATGCTTAGTGAAAATTGGCCATCACTTCGTAAACTAGGTTCTGGTTATTTTCTTGACTCCGTTGAAATTAAGGTTGTTCCAATTTCAAATACATCTATGTCAGACAATCCCAAATACAAAATAAAAGATGGTCCATGGCCACAGCAACCAAATAGAGCAATTTACATGTCTGAAATTAATGAAAATAGTCGTGGAATCGGCATCAATACATCATTTAGTAGTGATCCCGGGATTGGATTAAACCATGTTAGAAGAAATGAGCAAGGTTTCAATTTTATAAAAAAAGAATGGGAACGGACTGTTACATATGGTTGTGAGACTGGATTATGCTGGAAATACCAATATACTGCTGATAGCTTTCAAAAGAATTTAAACTACAGAAGTTGCTTTGCTCCTGGAAAACATTCCTGCCATTGGGAAACCTTAGATGCAATGAGTGGATTTCGTATTACTATTATTCAGGCATTACGTTGCGATATTACTGATGGCTGGCGGCGGAAGTTAAAACCAAATATAAAATCAAAATTGATGAAATTATGTCCCAAAATGGCTCATACTCTTGAAATATCTTTCAACAGTTTTGAAAATTTTAATGAAAATTTTAAAAATCTTAAAAATTATCAAAAATTTCATGAAGATCGTCTTAAAGTTACTGTAGCAAAAAATGCCTCACCTCAAATAGAAAATCAAAAAATTCAAACATTGGAAATATCAACATTGAGCGTTCAATTAAAATGCCTTATTTCAAATGATAAATGTTGAGCACAACAACACTAATTTTAGTAGATTACTTTTATGAGCATGTTATTTTCATTTGGTTCTTACACTATATTTATATGTGACTTATTTCATCTTATATTTTAATGTTTTATCCCATTTATTAGTAGAACTCTGAGGCTACAGAATTACCTCCAACCTTTCACAAAAATCATTTCTGAAGAACATGCTAGTGGAATTGATGTAAACAATTACATAGAATTTTAAGAAAATCTTAAATAATTAGAAAATATTTATTTTTTATATTTATTATATTAAACTTGTATTCTTTTATATGTTTATATTTTATTTTATTTCTTTAGTTGTTAAAAAATTTTTTAAATATACGAATAAATGACTTGTCAGTTTAGCAAGTTCTTTCATGTACTAATGTTTGCATTTTCACTCTCTTTACTGGGACACCGCAACTAATAAAGTTATTTTTTCGTTTGATACTATTTTTCGCTAAATGATTTGATAATTTTATAAATAATTAGTAAATTTCTTTTTTCTTTAATATTTTTTTTTATTTGATTTTTCTTCAAGACAGGACATGATTGATCTACTCAACTTACTAATCTACGCAACTATTCACTCACCCACATCATCACTAAAATTTACAAAATCGGTAATATAATTATTAATGTAAATATTATTAATTTTCAATAGTGACGTGTGTATCATTAAAAACTATATTTATGTATTTAACATATTGTTGTTAATATAAACTAGTAAAATTTATAATAAATTTATATAATTTTAATTAATAATATATTTATTATATTTATTATGCGCATAAGCTCGGAATATGTTTGAATTAAAAAATAATAATTAAAAACAGTAACCACTCAAGACACTTAAATCATGTCCATAATCATTTATAATTATACTGTATATCTTATCCTACTGTTGATGAATGATTAATGGATAATTATTAATTGAGCGTGTATGTTCTTGACATACATGAAAAATTATAATAAGTAATTAGTTTCAAAAAATCGATTGTAAAAATTAGAACTCCAATCAATAGGATTGTAACAACCAACGATCTCATCTGTGTCTCTCACTTTCGCGACGACAACAATATTAGTTTTCCGATCACGTAAATTCAAAAACACCTCGTTTAAAATTCCATCCCCACTTCCGCCGCGAAGAATAAGTTTGAATTCATATGGAAGATTATTAATTTTATACGCCACTTCATTCTTATTAATTAAAGAGGTAATTTGAACCACTTAATCTTTTGTTAGAATTGATAATGTAATTTGAAAAAATATTTAGTGGTAAAATTATTGAGGAATAGATTTGTCTGTAATAAAGAATATTTTAAATATTAATCATTGATTTTTTCAAGAATTTCTTGATATTAATATATCTTCCCATAATTATTCATTGGAAAATTGAAAATATCGAATTTGAGGTAGTTATTTTTAAAAATTTGAAAATCCTTTTCAATCCAATCATCAAAATCATTAAGTAAAAAGTATAATTTTAAATTATAAATCACCCTTTTGAATGATGGATATCAAAGCTACTACTGGAAGAGTATTAAAATCATTTGATTTGAAAATCAAGTTGGGGTGTTTTACGAATTTCAAATAAGTTTTAATCAAGGGTGATTTTCAATAAGAAAAGTGCGAAGTTCAAAAATAATAAAAATAACAGATGTTACAACATTTCAAGATTGAGCGCAGCACCATAATATTCTATTAAATATAATATCACTTTCTTTATGATAATACTAAAAACCTTAGCCCCATATTTGATTTTTTAAATGAAAGGACATCGGTAACATAAAACTGTTGAATGAATTTTGTTCCAGTGGCAAGACTTTTTCGGCTAATATCGATATCACGAAGATGAAAACATATCACCTTGTAACCCTGAACAAGGCTGTCATAGAATAACTTTAATAGAAATTCGCTCTCTGTCACTTTAAATCACGAGCGAAATTAAAAAAAAAATGTAAATTTTCTCTTTATAAATTTTCCGGATGTTGAAACAAGACTTTTTTTTTATTTAATAAAGATTTATCTGTAATTTAATGGGTTTCTATAATTATGGAAATTGACTAACAAATTATAAACTCTTCTTATTAAAGCCAAAGTTTCTTGGTTAAGAATGCATTTTTCCCTTATTTATCTTACTATTTTTAGTACATTAACTTATAAAATTTTTGTACTATTGTCTACTGAAAGTATTGATAATTATGCTTATAAAAGGATTTTTTGATAGGAAAGATTTTAATAGCATAAGCAAGTCAATAAAATCAATTATTATATCACTTAAATTGCGGAATTACCTTCTCGTATAGAAGAATCCTTTTCAACTATCTAGTTATATTGATCGTAAAACAACTACTTATTCAATAACATTAAATTTGAATTAATTTTACAGGAAACTAGGTTCTGCAAATGGTCTTGGACATCTACCATGATCATGCTAATACAGTTGTGGTAATGGTAATAAAATCAATGTCTCTTAAAATAACATGTTTATTTATTTGTAAGCGTCATTTTAAAATTTTATCATACTTCTCAAGGTATAACTATATTGTTTCATAGTCTAAAATTTATAAAATTTTCTGATATGATTTTAGCTTGGCCCTTCATCAGGAAATTTTTTTTAGGCGTAAATTTCCATAATATTGCGGCATACGGGCGGTTTTGACTTTAAACCGTAATGTATCGGCGGATATCGATGCTAAAATACATGTCATCTTGTAGCTCAGAAACAGAGCTTTCGTTTCGGTTATAGGAATGCTTTAATCGAAATCTCTCCCTGTCCTACAAATCACGATCAAAGTTAAAAAAAAAAAAATTTTTTTTTTTTTTGACGTAAAAATTACGTAAAAATTTTGGAAAAATTACAAAAAAATACGAATCACTTACACTTACTGGAAAATTTTTCGTTTTACGTAATTTTATGGAAACCGTAAAGTTAAGAAACCTACATAATATTACGGAGATTTACCATCAGGATATTTTTTAGACGAAACATTACGTGATATTACAACATTTTTAAAAAAAATCGTTTTTGACTTCGCTCGCGATTTACGCTTTTCTAATAAGGTATTTCTAAGATGGATAGATACATCTCGATATATGTTTCATTCTGTAGCTTCGATATTCTTTGAGATATTCACGCTTAAAGACTAAATTTTGTGTAAAATTTCGCAAACAATTTTTGCGTAATATTTCGTAATATTACGCCACTTACGGGAAAAAATTTTGTTGAAATTTTCACAGACGTCCGATTTAAACGTAAATATTTCTATGAATGTCAATAATATAGAAACATGACACATATCAACATGTAGCAAGGAACCAGGACTTTCTATCCATCTTAGAAACACCTTTAGTAAAAAATCACACCCTGTCACGTAAATCACGAGAGAATTCAAAAAACGGATTTTTTAGGCGTAAATTTCAGAAATATTTAAATATTTACGTAATATTTCGAAAATTTACGCCTAAAAAAATTTATTATGTACACCTAAAAAAAATTTCCTAATGTTCACAGTTCAAATGTAAAACGGAAAACATTACGAATAAAAACTTTACAACGCAAATTACCCCTATTTATTTTGAATTTGCATGCTTATATAATTGAATTCTTTTTTTTTTAATTTAGTGTTTAATTAATATAACTTAGAAGCTTTACTTTGTCTTTATCTTTTTTTAATATAAATATTCCTTAAAACATACAATAATATCATAAAGTATATTAATAAATTAAAATATTTTATCTCTTTTTAATTTGAAAAATTTCATAATCATCTATTGAAAACCAACCTTTTGTATTTCTAATTAGTTTTTCATTGCCATTAATATTATCAATATAAAATGATCGATTCTCATTCGTATAGAAATCATTTCCACCAAAATTTGGACCATAATCATAAGAGTTATAAATAGCATTATTTGCATTTTTTACACGACTAAGAATATAATCTTTGATATTTCCATTTTTTAAAGAAAATATAAAACTATCTCCTAAATTGGAATTCCAACCAATAGGGTTGTAACCACCAAGGATCTCGTCAGTATTTTTAACTTTCACAACAACAACAAGATTTGTTTTCTGATTACATAAATCCCAAAATACTTCTTTTTCAAATCCATCCCTGTTTCCATGATGAATAAGATTGAATTCATATGGATTAAAATTTACATAATATATTACTTCTTTCTTATCAATCCAAGCTGCAATTTCAGCTGCATGTTCATTGTAATAATTGATGAAGTAATTTGAAAGGTACAGTATATCCACGATTTGGAAGTTCAGTGGTGACTAATTTACGAGGAGGCACAATTGTTGCGGTAATAGATTTATCTGGAGTCATGTAATACTTTAAAATATCAGTCACTAATTTTTTATCAAGAATTTATTGAAATAATGTCTTCATTGGAAAATTGAAAATATCGAATGTGGGGTAAGCATTGTTGTAAAGTGTTTTTTAAAATTTGAAAATCCTTCTCAACCCAATCATTAATGTTTGAAGGTAAAGTTTTATTTTGAGAAATTCCCCATTGAATTACGTAATCCCAAATCTTGGATTCCTCAAGTTGTAAATCATCCCTTTGAATAATCGATACCAAAGCTGCTTCTGGAAGTGTATTAAAATCGTTTGATTCAAAAATCAAGTTAGGATGTTTTGCGACTATATCATTGCAATAATTTTGAAGTGCTTTAAAATTATTAGTCTGAGAGCTTAAATGATAAATTTTGGAAAAATTTAATTTTAACCAAGAAGGATGATTTTCAATAAGAAAAGTCTGAAGTCTTGCGACTAATTCTTCAAGTTGAAATTGATTTGCAATTGTCAAAAGATCAAAAATAAAAGATGTTTCGACTTTTTCAAGACTGACCGTAGCTCCATAAATATATCTATTAAATATTTGAATAAATTATTAAAATATTAATTTTAAAGTTAAAATATAATTTGTTAATTATAACACTTACTTTATGATAATATTAAAAAGTTTAGAAGATATTTGTGGTTT